TTTATACGTAGTTGACATTTAAACAAACATATTACACATGAACATCTACATAACTGTGTTTCCTGGTGCATCATAATAGCTTATTTTACCCATAGCTGATTAGTTATTTGTACCAATCAAATTAGTTAGCTGAAGCAGGATAATATTTCATGGTACAGTAAAACACTGTATACGAGCAATAAGTTGCAAAGGTAGACAATAGTGAGCGAACAATAACAACATTTACTGAAAGACGATCTGGTTCATATCAATAGAAATGATAGAATCAGTAATTTTGAGCAATATTAGTGGAATGATGCGATTGCTTGACTTGGGTCTATGTTGCATATGAAGCTTGATAAATTAGCAGAAACCTGTTTCGACTGTTGTCACAACCTTATTCAAACACAGAGGGAGCTAATTTCATGACCAGTTGTTTAAACTGCTTTTCATTAGGTCTCAAGATATGTTTGAACTAGGCGATGACCTCCTACCCTCACTTAACTCTAATCTAGCTCCAGGCTAGTCTTTCCCTTAATGCTATTAGATACCCGATGAAATCTCATCAAAAATACTGTAGGTTCAATACAAAGATAAAAACAGTACAAAGTTTGGCCACTAGTGTAGGTCGAGCCATAACAACGAGTGATCATTACACGTTGTTTGCCCTTGACCTTGTCGAGTCATTTGAATCCCAGTGACTATAGTGAGTTAAACTGTTTTGATTCTGACTCTTACCCTGAAGAAGTCCTGACAAGTTGGCTGGACGAAACGTTTGAATTATTTAAATTTCAATCGCTGGGACTATTTCGAATATAATTTTCACATATATTTGCTCCTAGGTTTCACCGCAAAGTCGTCTTAAGCTTGTGTTATTCCTGATTGTTGTTGTTGTTTCCCGTGTTAAATTTAGGTGCTTTGTGTGCCCTTTCTGGCACGGTCACCCAATTTTTGTTCTCTTTCATCCCCTCGCTACTCTCCATCCCTTCTTAGTACAAAGCACCTGGTTAGACTCGAACCACTACAGTGATCCATGGCATGCATAATATCGGCTTCACTTGCAAAATGGCTGGATTTCAGTGACATTTAGATGACCATACAACTGACATATCATAACCCGCATAACATTTAGCAAGTGATCTCAGTTGAAAGTTTGTGAATTTGAATCCTAATTGAGTTCTGTGTTTTTGACATCTATTTATTCATCGAGTAAAGCTCAAATCGAGTCCCAAACATTGCTTGGCGACTCGTAACTTCTGAATATGTAACCGTGAAGTCAAATCAGTGAAATTGTTTTATTCAGTTTTCAGTAATAAGGTTGGTGTACCTGTGTTAATCCTGACAAATCGCCTTCCAGTGAAGGTCCAGCTTTTTGAAAATATTCACTGATGGGGCTGATGAAACACAGTACTCTAAGTGTGATCTTACATAGGTGGGATATAAAATTCGAAACATTTCCTCGTCAAATTATTTGAATGCTCGGCGAAATGACCATCACGCACAAAAACCTTTAACAGTAGCTGCGTTGCAATGCGTAGTTGTTTTAAAGTTATGACTTATTATTACTCCTAAGTCTTTATGTTCCTGAACTCGTGGAAGAGATGTACCATCAATGGTATAATGGTAACCGCAACCGTGTTCGATTTGCATGAGCAAACTCTTCCTAGAATTGACTTATAAGCCCCAACCTCATGCCCGTCAGACTAATTTATGGACGAGCCAATCAGAAGCGCCTTAGAGATTTCAAGGTTACGGCTCTACCTTCAGCGCTTAATGCTAACGTACGATCGGTTCACAGGGAATTTTGTACAAAACGTGATGATTGAGCGGATATAACAAATAAAACGGCGATACTATAATTTGTGAACGATTCAATCAGGTATAAGATAACAGACCTCGGAATTTGGCGTGAAAACCTTTCACCAATTGCAAAATGGATAATAAAAGCATCAGTAATACTGGTAGTAGCCAGATACTACAATATATACGGATGTTTGGAGAGCGTACACACTCTTAAATAGGCTTGTTTATGTGCATCGTGTCGTTATCCACAGGTAGCATTTTGTACACTCAACAACTGGAGTGGACATAAACAATATTGAAGCTGTGGTCGAGGCTGAAAGAGTTTTTGAGACTTTATCATGGCTCCCGGGGCCGACTATTCTGTAGCCGTATGGATGATTTCCTCTACTGCATGCATTACGATTTTAGAACCTGTAAACCTCTTTCTAACCTTGACAAGTTTTTGAACCACGTATAAGAAGTGTATCCACTTTATTTCCTTGGCTTTGTTTAACATATTTTTACCCTATACTGACTGTTTGTTGATTGGCTATTATTTCTCGATGTCACTTAAGATTCGTTCAAAGGTCGTCCATAAATTAGTCTCGCCACTAATTTGTCTAAGTCAGCTTGGAGATCAAAATAATCAACCTCACTTCCTATTGTTCTCCAAATTTTGACATCATCTGCAAACAATAATTCATCAACGTAGAGAAGGAAAAGTAGCGGGTCTAAGATGGTGCCTTTGGGAACACCACTTTTGACCGGCTTTCATTCGGATAGCCTTCCATTAACCCTCACTGTCTGCGGTCACATAAGAAGTTTCCTACTCGTTTCTGTACAGCATCTGTTATCTCGAAGCTCGAGATCTTCTGCATAACACCTAAGTGTGAAACCTTATCAAGCGCTTTGCTAAAATCTATCAGTATCACATCGACAGACATACCGTTATCTAAATCTGCTGTCTAATCCTCTCTCACAATAAGTTAGTCAAGCATGACCGCTTGTTAAGAAACCCATGTTGCTCGGGAGTTAACAGATTGTGAATAGGACATACATTGAGGAACGCACCCAACTGCGTCAAAAGGCCTCACTTGGAATCCTCAAGGCCAAAGGAGAAGAGTTCCAAAGAACACATTACGCCAAGAAATGGAGAGAGACATGAGAAGAATGATTAACATTTGGATACAACTAGAAAGGAAGGCCCAGGACAGGATGGGTTGGAGAATGCTGGTCGGCAGCCTATGCTCCATTGGGAGTAACAGGAGTAAGTAAGAGTTAGGAATAGGGTATTAGGTAACGATGACAAATCGATTGATGAGGTAGTAAATCTTTATCAAGTGAGATGGTTGAAGCATGTGTTACGTATGTAGGTGTAGGAGTAGGCTGGAAGAAAGCCAGGGGCGGCCAAATCAAGACAGCATCAGTCCATGAAGTCATTGACATCTGGACTTTGTCATGTAATTAGGTGTAGACTACCTTGTTGGGGTGTGTGTGATTATCGTAGCTAATGGTTATAGACTTTGAATGACATGGCTCAAAATAGTTTGCAATGGCGCAGTTGCATCCATTTTTGTCTTACCCCAAATTACAGTCAGCCACAACGTAGGACCAGGCACATATATGCATCGGTCCAAGTTGCCATAGATCATTAGCACAACACGATGAACACCAAATTCACAGTAGTTACTTCAATGGTATTAATATAAAAAAGAAAGATTGTATATAAGAATATAGTACAGGAAGAAAGAATTAATTCGTGGTTGAAGGGAAGAAGGAGAGTGTATACACCTACGCCATTTTGATCGATTCTGAGCCATGTCACCAAGAGTCTCCAACCATTGGTTACGATAGTCACGCGGACCCCAACCAAGTAGTCTGCATCTACCAACATGGCTCAGACCAAAGGTTAGTGACTTCAAGCACTGATGCCACGTTGTGGTTCGGCCACCCCATACTTTCCTTCCAACCGTCTCCAACACTAGTCAGCATTAAGCGTCGTGGTAGTCGGTATTCAGGCATACATAACACGTGGCCCAACCATCTCAGTCAATGAAAATTTACAACCTCATCAACTGGTTTACCATAATTCCCTAATACCATGAGTCTAATCTCATTATTATTTACTTGGTGATCCCAGCAGATTTGAGCAATATTTCTAAGGCATTTGTGATCAAATACTAGTAGCTTACGAGTATCTTCTACCCTTTATAGCCACATTTCGCGGTCGTAAAGTAGAACGGAACGAACTGCCGTGCAGTATACTCGTCCTTTTATTGATAGACGGATACTTTGCCTTTGCCATAGGTGACGTAAGTTGGCAAAAGCCAAACGAGCTTTCTGAATTCTTGCAGAGCTTTCGTCAAACACCAACCCATTCGGGCTGATCAGACTTCCAAGATAAGTGAAGTTATCGACGCGTTCGACTACTTTATTCCCTATCCTTAGTTCAGGTGTTGACAAGGCCAGTCCTGAAGCAACAACTTGTATCTGGAGGAGGAGAAGCTCATGCCAAACATCTTGGCATTGTTGCTCAGTGCTATCAAAACTCTGCATTTTATCAGAGTCTTCACCAAACAGGACTATATCATCTGCATATTCTAAGCCGATAAGTGGACCTCCTGGAAGGAGATCAATTCCTGGAAATTCATTCTACGAGAACGTGATTCCCATGAATATGTCTATGATAAAGTTGAACAAAAATGGGGAAAGTGGAGAGCTTTGACGGACACCAAGGTCAATCAATGTAGCCCGACTGGTTCATCACGATAGGCAATCCCGACCAACGCGTCAAGTTAGCAGCAACGGTCGTGTTTTTATCTTGCCCATTTCAAAAATACGCCTTCACTCAGGATAATTTTAAATTATCCAGTTCTAAAAACGTAAATTCTTCAAACCCATAATTAATATTCAATGCATTAATTTTCGAGTTTCAGATAATTACTGTTTCACCCATACTTTCTCTAAACCTATCCTCCATATATATAATTATAATAACAGTGATAACTTTTATAATTTCAATTAATCTATCCCTACTGTTCATTATTTAGTGTTATATTCCAATACGAGTAATGTTGTAGGCAACTAATGAAAACCCTGAGAGCACAACAAACCCACATTATTCTGTTTCAGTTGTTGTCTCTATCTTATTCAAACTGATTTCATGGCTATTTAGTTAAATTGTCATGCTTGAACTCAATACCATATTTGTAAACTAGTTAAGACTCGCATATAAATTTGTTTACTTTGAGTTTCAAATCCCATTAAATTGTCTAACTTTTTAGAAATGTCACTAGAATTATATACTAAAAGACTCAACGAAATCGTTCGTCCAACAGGGAACGTCAAAGAACAACTTTTGTCAGCAATCAAGGACATCGAAGCCAAAATAGAGCATCTAAAAGAAATAGTAAGTTGTAGTTTCCTTTTTCTTTGTAATCTTATTAAAGATCTTTCTTTCAGAAAATTGTGAGATCTCTCATGTTTGTCATGCGTCTGAAGATCTAAAAGTTCGTATGGAAAAGTTGTTTGAGGGAATATCAAAAAATCAAGAACATATGGTGGGCTTAATTCCGAAAGTATCCCCCTTGCACGATGTAGCATATCCAGTAATAGAAGAATGTGAAGCCCTAACAAAGCAGTTGAGGATCTTGGAATTCGCTGAACACTTGTCATTTCTTGAGTAATTTCACTTCTCTTCATCTATATATTATCTGTAAGGTCTGGTGTATTATCTGCTAGAATAATTAATGACAAGGACATTCTAATTGAGTCAATTAAACAATATTTTTCCTTCCTTAATACTCAGTTATCGACTGATCCAGACATTTTGCCCTCTATTTTGGAACAATCTCAACAGCATAAAACGTGTTTAGATTCCTTGCTATATTTAATGACGTAAGAATTTATAAATTAAAAGCTATTTCTAGGGATTTTGAGTGCTTACTAAAGAAACTAAATTTTCCTGTTATTGTATCTGAAGTTCTTGAGGAAGAAGGATTACAAACGTGGTGTGATGACGATTTGCAGTTATTTTCCAATGACTTTCAAGCTCTTTCTACATTCGATATTTCGTATCCTTTCATGAACAGACTATTAACATTAAGCCCAAACTATGTACCATGAATAAAGAAATCAATTTAAAATGAATCATTTATGCTAGTTAGCCGCTACACTGAAGACAACTTACTCCAGGTTCAAATGAAGCTACTTATTTGAAGGCCTTTTAATTTGTTTTGAAACTCCACTAAAAAGCAAAAAACCGGAAGACGAATCTGTGTAGCAGTTTGATTAGATCACACATAAATATGATGATAATTACTGATGAAGGAAACACTCTCCTTGCTCCACCTTGGTATCAATTAGTCTGTCTGCTAAAGGTGAGGTTTACAACGCATCAGTGAGTGTTCTACCCTGTTTGTGAAACCTGTCCCTCCCGATCTGAAGATGTATAGCGACATATTATTTTTTTATAATCATTGTTTTCGAAAGATTACTGATATTCGGTGACAAAATCGCGTTCGGCCATGTGTTTGGCGTAACGACGTTGATTCGGTTGATGCCATCTTGGGACACCGACTTTAATGGGGTGATCATATTTTGCTAATGTCATCCTAGCAACTTCCACATCACCTATTATTTGAAGACTTTTAGACTGAACATAAAATGTGGAGTTGGCCAGTTTATGACGCAACCTTGTAGTATACAAGGTGGTTGCATGGGACTAGCATCTATTGGTCCATCACGACTCGGCTGGGGCTTTATAGGTGGCTTAAGACGTTATCAGGTATGGCTCGGAATAGAAGCTGATGTCCATCCTATAGTTTCCTACTACACTGCATTATTGCCACAGGATCACGCTTAACTAAAAAATTTTGTTGAGAATCACCTTAATGCCCTTCACTGTGGTTTAATTTGTATGATTTTTCTTTGTCATGAATGTACGCTAGTGTTTTGATTCTTTTTCAACTACTGTGTAATATAGTACTAAACTGTATGTGTGGCGTACTCATCAATCATTGATCTATGGTTTTATTTCCCTCTGTTTTCATAATTTACACAAGTATTAAGCCGTATCCTTTTAACTCCTCATCAGTCATCTAAATATTTTAATATCGAAACCGTTACTAATAGATGTATGCTTTCCAATGCATATTATTCTGGCTCCTATGGAGAAGCGTTTTCGTTATCACTTTTGTGGCTCTCAGAAGACAAATAGAATCGATATGGTACATTTACAAATACACATTTAACCACAAACTTTTATTTAGCCTGAATGGTACATGTCACAAGTTCTTCAGTGGATCCGAACAAATGATTATTTTGTTACAGTGGTCGATCGTGATTTTATCTCTGAGAAAGACAATACTCCTGTTAGCGTCCGAGTGAGTTTGAAAATAAAACCGGCAATCATAATTATTACTTTTTTTATCGCATTTTAAATCTGATCACAATCGCCGTAATGTATTTTATATTTTGTCAGACTTGACCTCAGTTTCTTTTACACAGTCGTTAATTTGGTATTTCATTCAACAACCACGAGTATATTCATAATTTAGTGTGAAATAAACATTTAACTCGAAAGTGTTTTCATTTCATTATCATCACTATATGTGTACAGATTAACATCATTAGTTTGTGTTAGTTTTTCTCATAATCAACCGTAGGGCTTCTTGACAAGAAAGTTTATAATCTGGATTTACAATTTCATTTAGGTTTTATTGTAAACTCCAGGCTTCAGCTGGTTATATGGATTTAATTGGAATGGATCATTTTTAAAGCTTGGTAATTGCCTTTTACAATGAAAGCAAAATAACAACCTATTGTTTAGGTACTTAAATATGAGCCATACTCTAAGTGTGAGTGCTAGTGATACTGGCCGTCTGTCCAAACCACAGTTGGAACGGGACTCAAACCTAGGATCTAGTGACTAAAAGTCAAACGCCTTATCCAGTAAGGCACCACTCTACAAGTGTCGTTTGTACATGGTGTAAACTGTATTACAGCAACACCGTTATCAAGTTAGGCTGTACGTTTTAGAAATTGATTGTTCAGAACCACTTAGCTTCAAAAGTGCATCGAGAATGACTTCTATCAATCGTTATCAATGTAACTCATTTGGCGAGTACATGTTTATGTACTCGGTTTCGGGCTACATTATTTGTAAGATATTTATTATTTGAACACATAAATATTGGTACAAGGGGCACCGAATACATATGAACCACACAAGTCACTTGATTTGTGTGTGAACTGTGATACTGCCCGGGTGCCCAGATCAAGGCAGGTGGTTTTCTTAGGGGGCCACTCCCTGAGCCTTCGACCTAAAGGTCTAATCCACAAGGCAATGAAGCGACGTCAGGAGATTCAGTCCCATGGTAGCTGATGACCAACGATTGGTTCATACACCATTTATTCCTTCAGGATACTGAAGCCCATGTGCACCATTAATTTGGAACCAGGGTTTTCTAACTCCTTTAGGTGAACTCTCCGTGTCCACCAAGCTGGTTAAAGCGCAGGACATTCGCTTTTCATTTTCTCAATTTCGTAAATAACACCTCTGCCGTGAGATGCCAGTGAGTAGGACGTCCCTGGCAGTGGCTGTATGCACGTGGCCATGTGAAAGCATTTCGAGAGGGACAGCTGACTCTCCCCACCCTCGGCCGTACCCAGCGCGTTTGGGTGCAGATTCTGCCACTACTGCATTGTTTTGTTGTTCAGTTACAATACACAAATGAGGACGGTTGAATATTCACTATTTAGTGAGTTCATTTCTAATTAATTTGGGGGCTACTGTTCAAGTGGCGTTCAAATATGCTACCTATCTAATTTTAAGTATCATTCTGAAAATTTTGTTAGCAAATAATTTAGATTTGAGACTCCCTGCTTAGTCTTCACGGATATTGTGATGTTTAGTAGCGTGTAAATCAATGGCTTACTCAGTTTTCATTTAGAATTTGTTGTTTAGGTACTGGCTGTTTTTATTCACACAAAGGTGGATTGAGAACCTGATGGTTTATTTCACACACTTGATATTCAGGACTTTTACGAAATCCTACTCAGAAAAAGAAGTAGAATGTGCCATCACAACTTGGCTACTAGTATCGACCGGAAAATTACGCGAAGTTCATCACACTTTTATCACTTACTCCTGCTGCTCCTCGTGGAGGAGCATAGGCCACCTAAGCCAAAACCTTGCTCACAGCAAATCATAAAAATAACTAAACTAGTTGAATGAAAGGTACCTATCGTAACTTAGTACTATCAAGGAGTTGACGTAAGTTAGTAATATGGTATTAATTGTACAACTGAAGTACCGCGAAAAGCTCAGTGTAGTACATAAGTCTGTAAATTTGTATACACTAGTTCACTGGTAGGCTGTACTTGCATCTAGATCAGCTTGTGAATTTTTGCTTACTGTACTTAGAGTTATAATTTAATGAGATGACATTGCTATTTTCTCTAGTTGCAGCTCATGCGTGGTTTGGTCACATTGCTATTAGACAAACTACACTATGACCTTGGTATATCTGCTTTTATGCCAGTACGATTTGGTTATCAATTTCAAATGCGACGTTCTAACTCTGAAATATTAAGTTGTCTTATGGACTCTGATCCCGGTAATAGTTCTAGTAGTGAATTGCTAGAAAATGCACAAAATTTCAGCCACTTAATTGATGTCATATTACAGACGGATGCGAAATTAACTCAGCTAGCATATCCAAATGATTATCCTAAACCGAGTGATGTGCTTTCACATCCCAAAGTTTTTTCACGTTGGCTTTTACTAGAACAGTGTTTAGCTTCTGACAGATTAAAGCTTGTCCTCGGGAATTTCTCATCTTGGTCTGTTGTTGACGAAACTGAAAAGCGGTAAGTAAAATAGTTAACTGCAGCTTTAGTTCTTTATGCTTCAGTATATATCCTTCAAGATTCCAAAGACGTTCATTGTTATATCTGGTCAAGTATTGACTAACACTGGAGTACGAACTACATTCATTGTAAAGCGCTAAGCAATACTGCTTAGTTATCAGAAACTAAATGGGTGAAATGAGATTCCTACTCATCAACCTATGATAGAGTCAAATGTTTAGACATCTAACACAGCTCCAACGAATTTCAGTGATTTTAGAATTTTTAAATATATATTTAACTATATGAAATCTAGCACTGATGTGATTTGTCAATGATATACAGATAGGTTGTCCGGACAAAGTCCTGGAAAGTATGAACACTTACAAATCGATATTCTGACCAATTAAAAGCTTCAATTATTTTAGATATGTTATTAGTTTTGTAAATATTATCACTATCTATTTTTGACTTAAAAATAATTTTGATCATTAATTGCTTAAAATCTTTGGTGTTTACTCTTATACGTCCTGTTATGTTTTGTGAAGTGTTTTCTGATTATAATCTTTCCTGCGTATAAAGTATTACAAACTGTGTTCAGAGATATATTGTTTTTGGCTTTGTTGCATCAAGTGGCAATTTCGAGCTTCTAATCTTTACATTTGTATTCACAACAAAGTGATTCTATTAAAGCTTTTCTCTCTAATGTGTATACTACTTCTTTGCAAAAACTTTAAAGTGGTTATTAGACAGTTTTTTATTTACTTATTGAGCAAACATATGTTTTCTTTAGTGAACTTCTATCTTGTCATAGTCCATCTTCATTACCGAATCAATATATTTTGATACTGAAAATATGAAAATTTTCGTAGCGTCGAGAACTTATGCTATTAAAATTTTCTTTTCTTTAGGCCCCAGTGTGTCGATGATTTCATTGCACTTCTCCATGCTGTAGGTTTTAGAAGTCGACAACTATCTGACAAAATATCACGGGCTAGATTTGTCCAAATTCAGTTGAATTTAATTCGTGAATTTTTTAATGATATCGTGTTGTCAGCACGTCGAAAATTCGAAAATGATGACTCAAATGACCTTGGTCAGTCAAAAAACAAATCTGAAGTTAGCAATGCTAAAACAACAGTGCTTGGAAGTTTGTTTTCATCACGTAGTCGCTCGCCAAACGCTAGTTCAGAAACTAAGAAAATTTCAATCATCAATCAGTTATTCAATTGTTTTGTTGATGGGATTGGTCAGAAATTATCTTCTCGGTGGATAATTGTGTTGAACGCAATCAAATGTCTTCACGATGTGATGTTGGAATGGGCCAATGATCAAGTTAGTTGGCCGTTGTGTATTTATAAGCTTTCGTGGACAGTACTTCTAAATTACATGAATAAGATTATTGTTTTATTGATTCATACGTAACTAGTCCGTTAGTCTTTTAGCTATCTACTGTTTGTTATTGATTTAAAATCAAGAAGCTCCTATTGAACTTAGCACGTTATCTATACTATATCTATATATATACTATAAATAGAACTTAGTGTTTGATTATGGGGATCTTCATCATAGTTAACTAGTGGAATATATATTTCAATCTGAGATCATAAAAAAACAACTATTATCAGACAAGAAGCTAATCTTACTTGGAGTTACAGTCACATGGTGTTCTGGTTTCTGTTAACGCTTCCTTCTTCCTATGCTGTAGTATTAAGATCTTTCGATTAAAGCCCACTCGTAACAATTTTATCTTGCCTGTAAATCGACATACTTCATGTAACTTATTATTCTTGAATAAATTATTCTTATTATTTATTACCATTATTAGTATCAGTATTAGTAGTAAAGCTGAAATTTTTCCACTTCAACATATGAATATACCCTGAACACTAGATTTCAACATATATATCAGTAATCACTTACAGGTCCATGCACTCGGGTTGTAGTCATAGATTTTGTAGATAAAGGCTAGTAATACTTCTATCACGGATTTAAAGTCAGATCATTTTACCATTAAACCATTTTATTAAGTGTCTGATACAGGTTTCGATTTCAAGAGAAGACAAAGTTGCCACCAAAAATATGACCACCATAAAATCCTGAAATAATATTGTGGTTTTTCAATCTCTTTTAATTCACAGTATTACGTAACATTTTGGGAAGATTTAAGCACTCGCGCGTTATTACAGTTTGGAGATCCTTGGCTAATTGACATTGGTCTTTGTCCTCTTGTTACCGATGAAATAGTAAAGGAGGTAAGTGATTTGATATATATATATATATATATATATATATACTCATAAAATACCCATGTACTAAAAAATATCTAAAATAATCTGAAATCTGCTACTTAATCCTTCTTTTTTTAACCTTATAGGCAGGCATCTCCGTTCACTCAAATTCAAGATTAGGTGGACTCATATGTACCGAAAAGTTATCAGAAAAACTGTGAAGCATTTGTAGTTATCTTTGTTTTAAAGATTATTACACTTGATGCTCTCAGAATCACTTTAGTAACACCAGTGGTCATTCAAATCTTCATAGTAGTACATGTTTTTGTTGCGAAATAGCAAAAAATATGTAACATCTAGTTGGTCTAGTCATGTCACCAGTACATTACTTCAATAAATACAAAAATTAGATCTATTCTCACTCAAAAACAACCACGGGGTTTAGAATAATCTGAAGGATCTCCTATTATGATTATTTTGTAGAGAAATATCTCTGATTTTATCAAATGATAAACATCATGCTTATTAGTTGACAATTCATGGAGTTAATGATTAATAGCATGCTGAACCAAATGTCATTATCGTGTGTCAAATCATTCACACCAGTTATCAAACACGCGTGTCCGCTTGACGACTAAGACATAGTTCAGTAATGATCCTCTACTGTGATATCTAGCTTTCAAAGTAATAGCATGAAATCCATGTTCTCTCAAAATTGATTAATTAATTGGTCATTTCTCAGTTATTTGAAGCCTACTATTTTGGGTCGTAATCTTAAACGTCTCTCATAACTTCTTGAAGACAATTAGAAATGACCAAAGTCAATGCCAAAACAGTATAGTTTCATTGTTTGTATATATATATATAAATCCAAGGCATTTTTTGTATTTTCATCAACCTAATTATTAAGCGCTTATCTCTTTGATTTTGTGATTGGTTTGATAACTCGCTTCAGTTTCATAGTTTTAATACACTTGTTGTTTGACTTGTAGCTCAATGCTTGCAAATTGTTTATTTGTGTTAGATAATACATGCCCTGGTTTATAACTGTTTTTGCAAGAACAACCATGTTTTATATCATGATTTTTACTAGTAGTATTCCAGCACATTACAATTATTTCTAGTATCCTTCTCTAACTATGGTGTTTTATAATCTGTCTTTTTTAATAGTCAGAACAGAATGAACCTAAAAATGAAACATTTGACGAGTTGCATTCTTCCAATACTTACCTTGGTTTACATGGTGGTGTTTTCAGTCAGGTTAGTTGTGATATATAACTGTAAATTTAATTATGTCTTTCATTTATTTGATAATAATTGATGTAAACTTTATATTTCAGGTTTTATTTTATTCTGTACATTAGTTACCAAAATTATATAGTGACTTGATGAATATCAGGTATTCACCGTACTATTTTATACGGTGACAAAAAGCTTTTTGTCTAATCCTACTTACAGACAATATTTCTCCGGAAAATTTGCGTCACTCACGGTTTCATTCGAGACGTTACCGATAAGTTATTGAGTCCACTTTTCCTGAGCAGGTTTCAAAACATTTCAATCGAATATTTCATATATACGACCTTCATATCCAATAGTGACCTTCACCGAATCTCATCAACTATGCAGACAAAACGCTTTGGGAATCCGTTTCAATCGGTTTTTAGACTTTTTAATCATGCCCACCCGTAACTATAAATGCAATCAAATCAGGGGCCATTGGATTTTACGACCAATACATTATCATTCACTAGACACTACAGTTTGGATTTTTAGATACCATAAATAAGTTTCCAGACATCTATCCTTAGTGATCCGCTCTCTTGAAATGCTCACACGTACCCCGCGTATACAGCCAATGCCAAGGAAGTAATAATTACTGCGTTCTCGCGGCGGGAGTGTTGTTTGCGAAATTGAGAAAACGAAAAGCGAATGCTCGGCACTTAACTGGGTTGGTGGACACGGAGGATACACTCAGGAGAGTTGGAAATCCTTGGTTCCAAATCAGTGGTGCACATTGGCTCCGAGATCCTGAAGGAACGAATGGTGTATGAACTAATTGTTGGTCACCGGTTATCATGGAACTGGATCTCCTAATGTTGCTCCACTCCCTTGTGGATCAGACCTTTAGGTCGAAGGCTCGGGAAGTGGTCTTCTAAGAAAACCACCTGCTTCGGTTCGGGCATCCGGGCAGTATCACAGCTCTCACACAAATCTATGATAACTACTATTGCTTCAACACTGGCTTACACAAATCTTATTCACAATCATATGATAACATTCGTTTTTATTTATTTTATACTTAGTTGCTTATGTATTCCTCTTGATACTCATTTTGCGTATTTTATATTTTAACTTATACAGCAGTTCGCCTATGGTAGAAACCCTGGCCTGTCTAAACACTCTCAAGTCACTGACTGGTCGAAGGTTGGATCCTACCACCGACTACGAATACTGAGCCAGTCTTTCTGAAACCGCGTGTGCCATTCAAACTGAGCTCTTTCAACGTCCGCACACTAATGCATAGCGGACAATAGATGAGATTGGCTATGTCTTTAGAAAGTCTCAATATCTATGTCTGTTGTCTATCCGAGACCCATATTGAAGACTTTTGTGAAATACTACAAATTCGCCCTTCATCTGTCGCTTCGAATAGCTGTAAGTTTGTCCGGAGACCCTGTGGCATCTTCGCTTGTTTTGCCGGAGTTCGTATCGTACTAAATGCTAGAGCTGAGGCAGCACTGGACTCTGGTCATTCCTTGTTTGCGCTAATTTTACCTTACTTTTCATTGGCCAGCAAATTCATCATCCTAAACGGATCAATGTCAGTAAATTGGTTGCAGCTTATGTTGCAACTAAATATCAGACCGAGCTAGGTCCATGGCTAGCTACCATCCCATCAGAAAGTATAGATGAGCACTGGTTGCAATTGCATGACGCTATGAAAATGGCGATTTAAGTCGTTTGAGACTTCGCGAAATTTCCCTCTTATAAGCACTGGGTTTCTTCAGGCTATTTACAACTCATTGAAGCACATCGGTCTTCTCCGAATGACCACGAGTTTGACCAAAATAGTGGCGACTTTTTTCATGGAACTGACTTATTTACTTCTAAAGATATAGCAATTAGAGAGTGTTCCAACATTACAAAATGAATCTATAGTTGTTCCTCCCTTCAAAAAGGGTTCACTTCGTTTCTGCCACACCTCTCAGGGGATAGGTCTACTTCCGATTGCGTCCTGAATATTGACTTCCGTCATACTTCATAGATTGTTGAAAACCTGAGAAAGATTGACTTACGAGGAGCAGGCTGGTTTTCATTCTAGTCGAGAATGTATTGATCATATATTCACCCTTCGCCAAATGTTAGAACACCGTCATACTTATCACAGACCAACAATCGTAGTGTTTCTTGACATCAGAGCTGTCTTCGATTTGTTGGACATAACTGTTTTCTGGGATAACCTATTGAAGGGCGTTCCTGAGAATTTTATTGACATCTTGAAAGCCCTATGTACAAACTGTTATGACCTTGACGTCTGGCTTTTCTACCACGCGACTTATTCACCAATCAGAATACGACTTATACAAATCTTCACACTATGCCAAACCAATGACGTTCAACCGGCATGAGCAGTCTAGCGTCCTTATTAGTCCTATGTCCTCCTAGCCCGTCCACTAGAGTCCAGTTTCTGCAATATGAATTGGATCGTTTATTTCAAACATACTCTGTTTATATACCAACCAAGCAGACCACATCGTACCATAAAATAGAAAATAACATGTGTACACAAACAAGCCAAAAAGTGACTGTGAACGCCGAAGGTAGTAATTAATAGACTGAACATAGATTAAGAACCGTAAATCGTTTAATAATAAATTATATGTCAAAATAAAGCTTACAATAAGGGGAATGGAAGTACACATAATGAAATTATTGAATAACTATACAATAAGAATATTTATAGAATATTAGTTCTTTTTACAGTCCTCGGAAGTTACCTGTAACTTAATCTTCACTGGGTTATAACACAAACACCTCAGGCAGTAAGGGCATACAACCACCTCTCTCCACTGTTGCACACAAGCAGTGGGGTTGGACAAGGTTGCCGAATCTCATCATTCCTCTCCAACTTTGCCATCGATGACATTCTGGAAACAGCTCTGATGGATGTAAGTAATGGCGGTGTGGATCTGTTGCCTGGAGAAAGACTTCTGGACCTTGAGTATGCGGATGGTATTGTCTTACTGTGTGATAATGCCCAAGCCATGCAATCTGCGCTTAATCAGTTGGCTATTAATGTCCGTATGTATTGTATGTACTTCGCACCTTCGAAGTTCAAAGTGTTTTTACAAGACTGACAGGACCCTAATTCTGTACTCACCCTGGGTAGTGGGCGGATAGAAGTAGTCGACAAGTTCGTGTATTTAGGTAGCCATCTTTGGCGCCTTTGTGATGCTAATCTGGCTGTGAGAGGTCGGATCTACAACGCGTCGGTGAGAGGAGTTTTGCTTCATGCTTGTAAGACCTGACCACTCCGAGTTGAGTATTTTAAGTGACTCTGTGTTTCATCATTTTTGTGTACGAATAATTGCTGACATACAATAGCAACGCCATGTTAGTAATGCAGAGGTTCGGCATCGTGTTTTCGGACACAGTGATGATAATACAATTGGTGCCAAAATCTTGAAACACAGACTTCGGTAGCTTGAACTTGTTTTACGAATGTCGTCTCAGCGAATTCCTCGTTGTGCATTATTTGCCGACGCTGAGACTGTTTGAAAAAAGCGTAAGGGTGGTCAGTATATTACATGTCGTGGTATGAAAGAAAGTTGTACAAGACTGGCTTCTGTTGGGCCTCTACGACTTCCTGGTTGATTTCCTAAAGATGGTACAGCATAGTGGCTAGAAACATTGTTAGGCATGGCTCAGAATAGAAGCAAGTGACGATTCTGCTGTAACCTTTATAAAAGTGAACGTAATTTCCTTGATTGAAAGAATTCTTTCTGATTATATTTTTGCTAACTGAATTGTTTTTCCTATTATTATTACTATTATTATTATTATTATTATTATTATTATTATTATTATTATTATTTCAATCTTATATACTAATTTCTGTTCGTTGCTGTTCTTTTTTATCATACGCACTCCACCTCTATCTTTTTTCAACCTCATGGTTATTACGTATCGCATATGTGTATGGCGCCCCCCTGTGCCATTGTTTATACTCAAATAAATAAATAAATAAAATAAATCCATAGTGGTTAAAATACTTTTTCCTAATCATTAAGTCTCATGTCCAAACTTTTCTCATCCTCATGTTTTTTGGCGGGGTCAATAGTTATCACACTCAAAAATCTGTATTTCCAAAGCTTAGTACATAATTTTGTATACGATTATGAAGTCACATGTTTCATTTGCGTAACAAAGGATAAATTCTAACTGAACATTTTTCTTCATACCGTTGAACAGCTATTAATCTAATAAAATATATTTCAAAATAAAGTATTAACAAAAGTCGTACATTTGTCAGTAGGTTTCATGAATAAGTATGCTTCAAATAAGCTGCATGAATTAAATCTGTTCATGTAAGCCATTTGTCAGTTTCCCTTCTACCAAGTATACGACACTTACGAAGAAACCTGATTTCCGTGTCTACTTATGATAGTCAGCTTTTGTTATTAAAGATACTTTTTGACTAATTATGTATCTGTAACACTGACAAACTCAAATATCAATGCAATAAATGTCTAAAGAAACGCTACTAACTTTACAAGTGGGCTTTGCAGAGAGATTTAATTTGTGATATTTTTTAATATACTTCAATTAATTTTCACATAATTCTACACACTAATCAACAATCTGTCTATTTTTGATACCATTTCATTTGTTAAAGTTTTGATCGTGTTTAGAGTATTTTCTTTTTTTTTTTTTAACTTGCATTTGTTAATCACGGCATAATACTGCTGTCGCTTGTTTTGTTTCAGTTTCACAGCTTATTACCAGACTTTCAATAGGTGATTACTGCATGTCGCACCTTGTTCAATAGTGTTTGTTTTATATTTTCTTTTTCAACAATTCAACAGATGCTAAGATTGTACAATGGTGAAATTAAAAATATGTTGAAAGAAACAGTCGATTTAACATTGACAGATTTAAAAAGTAAATCTTGGGTATATGTTTATGCAACTGATCACTGGCTTCGAACTAGTTCTGTTTCCGGTTATTTAAGTAGTATGAAAAGTGAACTCTCCAACTTAATGATGTCAGCTAATGCGTCAGTATTCTTTCTTGCATTACGTGACTGGTTGTATCAGTTATCAGAATCATTACATCCAAAACTTTTCACACATGTATGGAAAGAAATTGCATCACAATTAGATGATTATTTGTATAATGAGGTATGTTGTGACAACTTAATTCATCTATTAGTTGAGTTTGCCTAAACTGAGCCAACTTTGATTTTACCTCTATTCCTCCCATAATTTCGAACTTTGCACTTGTGACATAAATAACTAGGTGATGGATAAAGCAATATTGAATCTGGCTACATCTATGGATTGATGTGTTCAAATTATCTTTTAGGGAAAGTGAAAACAGCTGAATTAATCATGATGATGTGTATTACTCTACATTAATGTAGAGTAGTAGATTTTTGTTTATAGTTTAGATGGGAAAATGTACTCATATTTTCACCTATTACCGATTTTAAATATTGTCACCTATGTTGTTCAACTATCGGCTTTTAATATCGGTTCAGCCAGCCGGATAATGTCACTTGACCTCACACTTTAGGTTAAATACATTAACATGCACGTGGCAAAGAAGTAAACTAACTAACAGGTTTGTGAATGATTATCATAGACAAATTTAGGAGTATCTTGGTGAAGAGAATGATAGATTAGATATCAGAACAAACTAAACTTCCTGTCACTATTTCAAAGCGTATGAATTCATAGAAATGTAATTATATATATATATATATATATATATATATATATATATAGTCACTGCAGCCTCTTTTTTCACTTTTGGTTCCTTTCCTTCCTAGAATAAAAAGTCCACAATTTTCATGGGAATTATTCCATCTTATACACTTGTTAATATCATGTTAGATACTTAGAAACAACAGGAATAATTATACCAAGGTTTCGTGCACCAATATCTAAGAAATGAGTTACCTCAAAAATTCACACATATCAGTGTTCTAGTCAGGGACACTGGACTTTTTATCTACTCGACATATTTATTATATACTTCCATATTCTTTCCGGCAACTTAAAATGACTTGAAGTTGTTACTACTTATCTACATCTTAAAGAAATATGAATTCATGTTTCCTGTCACACACTAAACTATAACGGAATTTTAGCTTTATAGTCAATTTTGGTTGTATAAGTACCAAAAAATAATTCGTCAGATACTTCAAGGCGAAAACATTCAGGTCGATCGAGTGTTTGTTTAACCAGTCCAAAATGACGTGGATATTAGGCAACTATTTTGTTCGTTCAGGCCCTAGGCTTTTAGATGTGTGCTCGGATCGATTCATCTTAAAGATTAGAACTGGTAAAACAATTTCACATCTATTTAACTGTTGACCAAATTTACAAAGTTCACAATTCAGTAGCTAGGATGAAATCGCGTTGGAGTTTCACTTTCTAAACGTCATATGCACCTCTTACTCTACATTCCCCAAACAGAAAGTGTTTGGGGACTCTGTCAATAATTAGACATAAGTGATATGATGATAGAATTTAAAGCGAATGTAATGTCAACAATTGATAATTATCTAACATCTTCATTTTTAACCTGTTTTCCCAACAGCTCATTCTATCAAATCGATTTAGTCCTCTGGGTGCTGCACAACTTCGTTTTGATCTTACTAACTACTTGTATCCAATGTTCAGTTTGTATACTGAACGTCCTGAGTCATATTTCTTTCAAATTCGTGATGCATGTGTTCTGCTAAATTTATTGCGTGGAACAGCCGAATTATTGAGAGAAACTATCATGGAATCAATGAATAGCCAACAGAAGCGTGATAACGATCCACTTGGGCCTTTACTTGAATTAGGTGTTTATAGACTAACTCCGGAAGAAGCCCTTCGTATTTTGTCCTTACGTGCCATTCCAGAATAAGAGATTTTTTGTATATTCAGAAATCTGACCTCCTAAAATGTCTTTCTTTCGCCCGTCTATGTTCTAGTTTGAAGTGCTTTACTTGCTCTCAGTGTGTAGATATAATTTCCTGAAAATATCCATATATAATAATTGGAGAACGTAACTTGAAGGTAATGTACTTCTGTTTATATCTTGATTTAACCTTGAATAAGAAATACGTGTGAATTGTAATTACTATTTGGAACACTTTTGCTGTCTATCCATTTCCAATCGCTTATAATGCGATCTACAATAAAAAACGTCTTATCTCTGCTATTTTTATTAATTGTCTCCCCTCCTTGCTACGAAGCCTGATTCTCAAGGGAACTAGAACAACAATTTGAAGTAAATATCGTGAATTCATCTCATTTTGTTGGGTTTGTTGATCAATTTTATTAAAATTGGTCAGTCGGTCATAGTGAACAGAAGTACATGTGCATCTACCTGATGTCGATCTAACTTTATGCTACCTGAAGTATAAACTTAAGCATATTACCCGTCTCGGGACATATGCCCCCAACCAGGTATTTACACCTCCACTATCCTTTCTAGTTGTTATCAAATGGACTGTTTAAACGATAGTGTTGAACTTATGACTTTAACCTTATAGCAGTGTTGTTCTTGCTTCGCCATTTCATACCTTCATATCTGCGTCAAACCCTCCTCATGTGTCGATGATACTGCCCAGATACGTTAAAGTTCTCACTTCTTTCACAGCTTCTCCATCAAGAGTGATTTGGTTGGTGCTCGCTGTTTTTACTTCAGGATCTCACTTTTTCCTTTGTGAATCTTGGAACCTATTTCTGTCAAAGCTAATTCTACACTGTGTATCTTCATTTGCATTTGTTCCTATGTATACGATAGAAGGGTTAAGTTATCTACAGATCCCTAAGTGTCCTCTGTATTCCATGCTTCTCCTGAGATGTGGAGGCTTTTATAATTCAGTCAACAACCAAAAGAAAGAGAAAGTAATAAGTCCCGAATGCTCCAAGTTCCGTCAGTTGCACTGGTTTATCCGCTTCTATTTTTCAAGGAGTATTACATCGGTCACTTTTAATTAAGTTTAACTGGATATTTTTATTCTGGGTTAAGGTTGAACCAGAACCTACGTAACTTAACACAAAAGTGGAATAATTATAACTTGGAAATTGTCAGAGTGTTTTATACAGAAATTGATATCTAAGCAACTTATGAACTATTTGACATTGTTTTGTGAAATGCATCTTACTGTATCACATTACAGACATAAATAGGAAGTAATTTTAATATGATATCATCTACATCCGTCTTCATTAAGTCAGATTTCGGTCTACAAGGAAATAATGATTGTGACTTAGTACAATTTAATTAATAATTGCTTAATATTATTCTTGGAAATATTTGAAGTTTCTTGCAAATTCTGCTTACATCTACTAGTCTCCATCTACTTTGATCAAATACTTGATCTGCACAAATAGTTCAACCATTAAAACTATACATTACCGTATAAAAAACAGAATTTTAATCATACTCTTGCTACTTTTTCGTATGGTGGTAGTTTTTAAAACATAATTCAATAACTAGCGTCAGTTGTTGTAATAGGATGTAATTTAATAATCCTTTACCACAACCTGGCGTTTACTATTTTTATTAAAAAATTGAGTCATGCGTCACATAAATTGTGTTTCTGACGTTTCGTGACTTAATGTAAATCGATTCTTCGGAGGTTTACGTCAAGTCACGAAACGCCAGAAATGAAATATTCCTACTCATTGGGATATAACATAAATATATATATATATATATGTTTTGGCAATAAATGCGCGGACTTTGCAACAAAGGTTTTGCTAAAGCTCTAGAAGAAATCATAAGGTCTTAAGGGCGATTTAATGGAAATAATCCATTGAAGAAAATAGTAAGTGCATCAAACATTCCAGTAAAGACTCCAAGGTTAAGGAAACTGTCCACCTAATTTGATAAAAACATTTAAGGTGTGTGGTCTTTCCTACGTTCTGATCGCCGATTCACTATATCGATTTTAAATTCTAATAAAAATGTCTGTATACTCCATCATGTCAAAATATCTAGTTAAGATCAAATGCCAAATAACAAGGCAGCTGCAGAATCTATCTTGTTGGGTTTACTACCCACGTTTTAAAAGAAGAAAAAACATTAATGATACACTCAAATGTTTGTAAAGTAACGTTTCTATGAAGTTATTTCGTTTCTTTCTTGGATTAACTATATATGATAACAAAAAGTCACTGAATAATTCCTGTTTTATTTGAAACACCAGTTTTGATAGAGTGAATAAGATAACAAGTTTCGATATGAAATATGATGAATAGAAAAAAATGAATCTAGAGAAAATAGGTATTTTACATAAAGGTAAACATTTAAAAAGTATCAAGAAACATTATGGACGTAAAGTTCAATCCAAAATTTCTGAATGATACTAGTTTAAATTATATTGGCCTGTGGGGTAAATGTAGGTTTTCAGGTTGATAAAACCTTATTTTTGTAAGCTTGAGTTATATATCCACATAAATATAAATATATGCTATTAGATGATTCTCTCAATGCATCTGTGTATTCATAAGACAGGTTATATTGTATTTCTTCAACGACTCGTTGTATACACACATCAATGTAAAATACTTGAACATATTTGAAACATAAAAGAAGAGCTATCAATTCTGCATACTTTATGGATGTTGAGTTTTCTACTAAATACAAAAAGTGTAAGTGTTTATGTGTGGATTTCATGATCCATCAGTCGCATCACTTCGCAATTCAGTAATTTTATTACTCATAAATGTGAACTCATCAGATGGTGATATTGTTTCTAATTTATCATTTAATATATTTGTGATGACGCTTTTAGGTACCTCAGAGGTGAATTCTGTTTCGCAGTTTGAATCTAATTCAGTTCTGTAGAAATTACGAAAATAAAATGTAGAACATGGTTTATACGCACACATTCAATACTAATAATGTTAATTATAATCGACTTTACTAGTTGAAAGCGCATGGTCAAACTTCTATGACTTCTCTTGGTAACCCTCAAATGAGACACTCCCGTTTAATAGTCTCACATTAATCCAAATCTGCTCAAAATTGAATATGTTATCCCCTCTGACTACTACAATGTTCTCATTTGTCGTTCAAATGCAGAGCTTAGAAGAGCCTTGTCAGTGTCATATGATCCTATATGTGACGTTATCCACCCGTTCAATGTGTGTGATGCCCGGCATTTTAAGTTCATTTGGTAAATGAATGCTTTATTTAAGAAAGTGATTTTCACTCAACATTTCATTTGAAGAGTGTGAAGTTATCCACATAACTGTCTTCCATAAATACATCAAGGTTGTACATCCCAAGATAATGAATGAAAAATACAAGTATAGTGAATGTTAAGGCATCGATTGAAATCTTCAATGAATATTATTCATTTCTATACAGCACCCCACCCCAATAAATGAACGGAGAAAATACTGGATACATATACTTATTAACTCACTAAAAACGTGACAGATAATCCCACGATCTTATTGCGTCAAGTTATGTAAATCTATATATTTATGTTGCCAGTTACTGAGTACTTCAATTACAGGAAATAAAATTACCGTTAACTTTTACTATTACGTTTATAAGTGTTATATAGAAATGATGGTATTCACTGATAAGGAATAAACTCAGTCGAATTGGATTTTATGAGTAATAACGAACTGCTTTGGACAGATCGCGATTTGATGTAACTAACTTATCTTTTTAATTGAATTAATCAGATTATCACAATCGTCTGTAATCCGAATGAAATACTTGCACATTATGGATAAACTATAAAGAAAAGGGTGAATACATAAAAATGATATCATATTATCAACAGAGCATTAGACAAGGGTTGTGGTGTTTAGTCATGCCATTTAAATAAGAGCTGATTGTTATAATTTGTGGACTGTAGATTAGATGGCAGCGAATTATCGATCGGACCAAAGACGCGTTAAACACGTAAGAACGACCTAGAGTCCCGATTGGTCTCGCTTCCCTGTCTAGCCCAGCCATTTGAGTCCAGAATGCAAGTCTCAGCCTATGAGATATGAATCACCATATTTCAAACATACTCTGTTTATATACCAATCAAGCAGACCACATCGTACCACAAAATAGAAAATAACATTTGACACGTGAAATAAGTATTGACCAGTAGGAAGATGACACCTGGAACAAATATTGACCAATAGGAAAATGATACCATCTCAAGTCCAAGAATAGCATTAGACTTAACAGGATAATTTTTGGGATATTTTTCTGAATATCCCAACACTGATTTTATTACCGCATGAATAATCTGTACACTTGGGTATACCATTATTTACAAACTGTTCTGTTTTAATTTATTCAAATAATTTAATTATTTCGTTTGTTTTCTGTCCCCTAAATTACTTCTTTATTAGTAATACTATGAAATGAAATTTTTTTTGTCTTAATCAGACCGTATGTAACTGCGAACTTCTATTTTTAGACTCAGTGTCGCTGTTATACGACTTTTGCGGTTATATAACTATTTAATTCAAGTAACCACTAAAATCCAATTGTCGATGTACATTTATTTCAATCTTTATGATCTCTCAGACAATACACCACTAGTAGTTATTACGTTATAAGAATCGAGCTTATGAATTTCAATCTCTCCTCAAAGAACCCTAATCCATTAACAATAATGTTACATGGTTAATGGATCAACATTAACAACGTACAAAAATAATCTGTATTTAGTTAGTTTTAACTCAATATCTCATTTATTTGACAAATAACACTATTTAGGCCATTAGTTGAGATAGGATTTGCGAATCATGAATTCCTTTGCCTGGAAAATTATTAAAATCTCTTACTGTACATTAACATTTGTGTTCAGTTGATGTACAGAACCTCACTAAATAAACACCATTAATAGAAGCACACTGAATGAATTCAAAATAGTTCCGATTAATAAGTTCACAATATAATATATTGTAAAAAGTTATGATGACTACCTAGAAATTAATGGGGAATTCTAAAGTTTATTCATGTTGTCATAAGAACTTCATTACATCATGCTAATCATTCGTATGATTGGCATTGTAATATTAAGTGAATTAATAATATCATCTTACCTATAAGAGTATTTTGAATAATCATCTTTTAATGTTTCAATATTTTCAATGAAATGCGTTTTTATGTTCTTGGCAGTAAGATATGTCTAAAACAAGAAGAGATATTTAATTGGAATCAATTTAAATGTTTGATAAAAATCAAATTATCTTTTGATTGAAACAAAGTCTTGTCATTTATAAGGTCATATAGTGTCTTTATACTGATAATATATCTATAATTTTGAAAGTAACATTGGTAAATTTAACAATATTCATTATATAATATGCTGTTCAAACATAAAAGAAAAAAATGCAACAAGATCACGATTTTAGATGGAATACTTGAAAAAGAACACAGACCAACATTCGTCCCTTTGTACTATAAATGAAATTCTATCAATCGTTTTTCATATGGATAATACTGAAGTTAGCCAGTGACTTCAATGCTATGTAAGATATATAAATTTAATGGGAGTATATAATGAAAACTAACTGCAATTGGAGCCCTCTCTGGGGTTACTGCCGGTCCCAAGCCCATATAAAGGAGGAGGGTTGTGCATGAGGTTAGCAACACTATCCCGTAGAAAACTAACTCGCTAAAAAAAACTCTAGCCAGAAAAAAATTAAACAATGAAACCTGTGAAAAACATACGATTCTGATTTGAATAGTGTTCTAAAATAACAATCGATATCAATGTAATATTATTGTTACTTCAATTAGTATTCAAAATGATACTATTTTTTAATTATATGTGAGAAATGTTTTGGAAATGGTATTTACTTTAATATCATCCTCACTAATTAAATTCACCTGATGTTGTTTTATTTGTATCTTCGATCGTCATTTAGGATTGCAATTGATCAGTCTCATGTTGGAGTATTTGAATCCTGCGCGGATTGCCTCGACATAGCCTTAAGTCACGAGCTTTTTAAGCAGAGATGGATAGTGGCTAGCAGTGGATTGCAGGACGCGCATTTCGTCCTATTTGGGACTTGTCAACTGCATGTGCCTGCATGAGTCTCGGAGTTAACATCAACTCTGGGATGCGAGTACATCCCGGATTTCAGTGCCAACCACTATCCATCTTTGCCTAAAGATCCTCACTAGTTTTTGTCTACCTACATGGAAGTAAATAAAATAAATTGTTTAGTTGTAATTTTTTTTCTATTTCCAAGTTTGTCAGTTTATATGAAGCCAGCAGTTACATCGAGTGTTGAATAAGGTCAGTTAATGATTACATTCTGTTTAGATATAACATTTTTTGTGATTTAGGAAAAAAAACCGAAATTTCGCTCTACTTTATTTATTTGTAAAATTAGTTCAAGTAATTTGACTTATAAAAATATTCTACAAAGAATTATATCAGCTCACATGCAGTTGAGTTTATTCACATTTAATATGGTTAAGCACTTTTGTTAACCCATTTAACGGACAGAGTCATTCGTACAATAAAAACTTAAATCATTATACCTTTATTATTGTTGCACTTATATGAATATGTATGTTTGAGCATTGCTTACAGCCTACGCATATACTCATTGTGCTAGCTTTACTATTAGTGGCTTAACTGATTCGATCATTCGTTCATGTCACTATGTATATACATGTACATTTTATTCCTGTTCACTTGCTCGCTCATTCGACTCTCACGTTCACTCGCTTGCCCTCTTGCTTTTCGGCACTACTCTTTCATGCTCGCTTAGCGTACCTGTAATTTTGGTGATCTCTGCGTGGTGTAATAATAAACTTAGTCAACACTACGGATTCGCCTTCTGATTAATACACCGTTGGGACGTTATCTAGTGATGGTTATCAGGACGAACAGTATACGAAGTTTAAGGATTACACTGAATATCGACCACCACAGAATAGTCTTGGTTAGTAAATCAACTGTTTAGATATTAAGGTATTATCCTTCCACAAAACGAATGAAAACTTTTTTCTGAAATAAAAATAAACTAATCGGTTATTTAAAACAGTTTTATGTCGTATTACATAAAATGAAACATATGACAAGCTCTTTGGAATTATTTAATTAATATCTTAACAGGATTAGTTTTATCAAAAGTGATTTACATTGATATAATACAATTACATATTTCACAGGTTGAAATCATGAGTCAGTTGAAGCTAGACCACCATTGAAAACCTGGAAGCACTGGACGGCCGTTTCGTCCTGGTATGGGACTCCTCAGCAGTGCGCATCCACGATCCCGCACCACGCGGGGCTCGAACCCAGGACCTACTGGCTTCGCGCGCGAGCACTTAACCACTAGACCACTGAGCCGGCATCCAACGGTGTTAATGTCTAACTTCAACCAATCCACGAAGTTGCGCCACCGTACACCATTAACACCGTTGGATGCCGGCTCAGTGGTCTAGTGGTTAAGTGCTCGCGCGCGAAGCCAGTAGGTCCTGGGTTCGAGCCCCGCGTGGTTTGGGATCGTGGATGCGCACTGCTGAGGAGTCCCATACCAGGACGAAACGGCCGTCCAGTGCTTCCAGGTTTTCAATGGTGGTCTAGCTTCAACTGACTCATGATTTCAACCTGTGAAATTTCTAAAAATTCTCCACAAAACCCATTCTGATAAAAATTACATATGTTTCATAACATTTTACTTTCACAAATCATAAAGATACTGGGATCTATGAATACAAGATTAAATCAACTAACTATTATTGGCTTTCATCTCATTTAGGATCCTAAATATATATCCATTACAAAACAGATTTAAACTAAAACAAAATAGCCGTTCGCTATCATCTGGTTAGCATAAATATGTTTAGTTGTGATCCCCTTATAATGAAAATTAATCTCGAGATGAACAATTTCAACAAGCTCCGTATTCTAACATTCAAATTTTTAGAAAATTCTTCTTCTATGTAGTCATTTACCTGACTTCTTAAATCCGAATGCTTTTACTTGAAATTTTCATTTGTTCTGTGAATCCATGTTTGAAGAAATTACATTTATTTAATTAGTCTTGTATGACAGGCTAGACAGAATATACACCATATATACCACAGAATTTCTAAGTATTATTATTATTATTATTATTATTATTATTATTATTATTATTATTATTATTATTATTATTTAGTACTAACTCCTACTGTTATTTGCAAGAAAACAATGGAAATTAGTAAGAACAATAACCAATGCTTTTGAAATACACATCATGCTAAATTACATCGTGTTTGCTTATGATAGACACACTAAAGATACAAATAAATCAGTTTCTTTCTTTCCATATTATTAATTTTGGTTCATTTACATGTTCCAATTTTCGGACATCATTTTAGTACTAAGTTTATATTCGATTGTGTCCGAAAGCTAATACTCTAGTCATAAAAAGCAGAATAAATATATACATGTCTTAGGTTATTTATGACACTTACTTGCATACAAGTAAAAAAATATATTGATACTATAAAATCACGTATTATCAGATAGGTAGAATGTATGATAAAGATTGACATGGAGTAGAATAGCTGGTACATGTTTCATATCACACTTATATATTGGATAATGTAATGTATATTCATTATTAGATTAAAAAAGGTATAACAATCTGTGACGGAATTTTGAAGAGTAACTGTCTATTTTTATATCGAACTGATTTACTGGCTAATTAGGGTTTTTATCAAAAAATGGGTTTTCAAACAAGACCAGGAACTGGCAGCTCTGTTAAACAGATACTGTTTAACAAAAATAATAAAACATTTCCGAATTCCAGAAGTTATATTTTTTGACATGCACCGATTAGTCAAATTACGAAGTACACTTAGTTGGTGTAAACAGTATACAGTTCTTGTACCTGTTTAATGATGGTGTACTTTATGAGCTGCATGATTTTGGTGTAAAGTTTCCATTGTTGTTCTGAATAAGCTCTCACTCGACCAGTTGTGTTCGAGTAGAGAGACTTTACAAGGTTAATATACTTCTTTGGTACTTCCTTCAGTGGCAAACACTGCCATGGAACCTCACGATCAACAGAGTCGAATGCCGCCTTAAGGTCAAGAAATACTGCGATTGTGGGGCGTTTGAATGTGTGTCCATGTTCTGGGATCTAACTGTTTTTCTAGTTGTCCCTGAAAAACTTTTTCGCCGACGTACTTTTAGAGATAACAATTTCCTCATCTAAATTTCTAGGAGTTGAACTTCTACCGGAAGATTCACTTGTTGACTTAGAATATGCTGATGACATAGTTCTATTTAAAGACACTGACAAAATGCATTCTTCTGATCACTCTAAGCAACAATGCAAGCATGTTCGGGATGCGATTCTCTCCCTCGAAATGCAAAATGTTGCTTCAGGATTGCGTTGCATTGACACCCGAACTAATGATAGGGAGTGAAGTAATTGAGCGTGTCGATCGCTTCACTTATATTGGAAGTCTCATCAGCCCTTGTGGTCTGGTGTGTGACGAAATCTCAGCACGGATATAGAAGGCTCGACTAGCTTCTGCCAACTTGCGTCATTTATGGCGTAGGCGAGATATCCGTCTATCAACCAAAGGACGTGTTTACTGCGCAGCAGTTCGTTCCGTCCTATTTTATGGCAGTGGAACATGGCCGGTAAGAGTAGAGGATATTCTTAGTTTACTAGTATTTGATCATAGGTGTCTTCGAAATATTGCTCGTATATCCTGGGACCATCGAGTAAGTAACGCAGTTGTTAGGAAACGGGTACTAGGTAAGGATGGCAAATCAATTGATGATGTAGTGAAACTTCATCAGTTGAGATGGCTGGGACATGTGTTACGTATGCCCAACCACCGACTGCCTCGACGTGCGATGTTTTATGATGTAGAAGTAGGTTGGAAGAAAGCTAGGGGCGGCCAGACCAAAACATGGCACAAGTCCATGAAGTCACTGACAAGTGGACTGAGTCATGTTGGTAGGTGTAGTCTACCTGGTTGGGGACCGCGAGATGATAGCAACCGATGGTTAGAGACACGAATGACATGGCTCAAAATCGTTTGCAATGGCGCTGGTGCATCTACTCTTTGTGTTCTCCCAAATTTTGATCTCCTTGTCGCTTTTTTTCTCTTCCCAAATTTATTTCACTATATTATACTCTTCGAGTAACATCTTCAAACACTAATTTTCCCGATTACTGCTTATACTCTTATTGCCTCTACCACTACGGGATTTGAATCGACCACTGCATCTGTGTGCTAATGTGGTGTGGCAACTCGAACTGATGTACGTACGTACGAAGTTCTACGTTGTTACTGACTGACTGACATCATTATTTTAAAGTCTTACTTCTTTAAGATGAATCTTTCTGTTATGAAACTATCCGAAAGTTAACTCAAAACAAATCGCTTGTTAAATAGTCTGATAACTAAGCACCTTGAATTGTCTCTTACATACTACCTATATCACTGTTTCTTTCACAGCTTGATAGGTAATGAATAGACGCTCATTCACCAATTAAATAGAAGGCTAAATTAACACGAAAACAAAGCCATATGGATAGATATGATTATTTGTCAAATTGAAAGAATCAATTTTACGAAATCCAGGTGCCAGGAATGCAAAAAACATTATATATGAAAATTATGCTTGAAATAATCTTAATGACCCAAGTTAAAGTGGTTTAAGAGTTTAGTCCAGCAAACTATTTCGAGCTTTTATAGTCAATATTGTTAACTCCCTTTTCAATCAATGTTGAAATCTTATTACGCAAACCAAAGGTCAAAATTTTAATCACTTACATTAGTGAAATTGTATTTACTTATTTATCATAGTTACCACCCATTAAATCCTCAATATTTTATCACCTTAGTGTCTATGTGTTACACCTAGTTGGTGTATATTTTTTCCCTCTTTCATTCCAATTATATTCTTTACTAAATGTTGAATAGATCAGATGTCAGAAGAGTACGCTCATGATAAATACAAGGCCAAAACCAAGATATTTTTATCTTGCAGTGATCACAATGTCTTTAGACAGGTGAGCCAAAATTCAAAAGTCCTATTTCTCGACTTTTGATGATTTGAAGTGTAGGGTCGCCATCGTTCAGTGAAGTCACTGACAACTGTTTGAATCTCCATATGGCTTGTTTCAAATGTGAAAGACACTAGAATATTGGGAGTACTTTTAAAAGCCTATATGTTATCATTATTATTATTTAAATGAGTGGTTCGTGAAAATTTGTTCAGGCTGGAATGAGTTAATCCTCCAGGGTTATCAACGGTTCTCAAACTGAACTAATTCAGTGATAAAATATGTCTGAACAAACCAACTATCTATAAATAGACGACAAATAAATTTAATTTGAATTTCATGAATATAAGTAATCTACTTTGCAATTGTTAATTATGTCAGTTTGTTGAAGTGATAGTTTGGTAAGTAGTGAATAAATAAACAAAATATAATTAATTTATTTAACTCAATATTCATACGAATTTACATGTATTAATGAACCTACTTTATATTCAGATTTATCTTTTCCTATACTCATTTCTTCTAATTGATGACAAAGTACACTACGTTCGTGTAACATAAAAGATAAACGACGCTGTAATAAATCTAGCTGACAATCTCTTTCAGATAATTGTAATAATAAATCCTCGACTGATGTTTCTCTATTTTCAATCTAGAAAACAAAAAGAAGTTTGTGAAAATAGTTGATAATACTTATATAGTTTTTTTAAATCAAAATCATTTTACAATCACAGTGTTTAAAACTGTAAGAAATTTAACGAGCTGACATTTAAGTATCATCAACATCATCATCAGTATAATTTACTGAAACCGCAGTTCAGTACTTATTGAACAAGATTCAAGTTATCATTATCGAATGAATATAATTAACAAAACGTTTTGTAAGGTGTTTCTGGGTAAACTTAATCTATCACGTCGGTTAATTAGGATACAAAATAAACACACTAATGTTCTGATAAAAGCTCGAAAGTATTATTGAAATACAAAAATTAACTAATATGAAAGATAACAAATGAAAAGTATGTTAAGAAACGCTTACTAACCAATGAGTACAAGTTGGTCCTTTAGCAACAAAAATTTCTTTGAAAGTTCAAAAACGTTAAAAGATTGTATCTTTTATGTAAATATTGAAAATCAGTTCTTATTAAATTTGCATGAATTTGTACTAGAAAGCTAACAGATTACTTAAATTTGATTAATCTAACTCATGAATAAACTCTTCAGTTAGATTCTTATTCAAGCAGTGAGTAGACAAGAACTTCTAGAATCTTATTTCTATTCGAGACACTTTTACTACTTTTAAAAACAACCAGAGTTTCATATGACAATGACTTGTAATCGTCAGGAAATCAATTGTAATGTACTATTGATCGATCAAATTCTTCACTTTTCATAATGTATAGAATTTTGTTTTTGAAATCATAATTCTCCACTTCGATAGCAAAAAAGCTCATAAGTGACCGTCAGTTTGTAGGAATACTTTTCACTATTAAACAGTTTACAACTGTTTTCATGATTATGAGCTAAGATGTATCGTGGCTAGCAGTGGAATCAAAGAATTGTGTTTAGCCCTATTTGGGACTTGTCGGTTAGAAGTACCTGCATCACACAGTTGATACTCACTCCGGGACTCAAACCCATTACCGTTCGCTTCAAACACCATCGTGTTAATTACGTAGCTACTGAGTCCTGATGGACACTTGCGCAATGGGGAGAAGTTTAAATTAATTTTGTGTTGTTTGTTTGAATCTTTCCTCTGATGTTCAGGTCTGTAATTGATCATTCTCTTATTGGCATATGTGAATCATGTACGGATTGCCTCACTATTGCCTTAAGTCGCAGGTATTACAATACCAAATGTACCTTTATGATTATAATATAGAAATAATCAAAAAAATTGTTTTGCAAAATCTAAATGTATAACAAACTAGCATAAAATGAACTTTGTATTGTCTTGAAATACTTGATGAAATGTGTTTTTAAAATATGAAAAGGAAAGAGTCACAGATTTTCACTACCATGTTTTGTTCTTACTGATAACCGGTAAACAATTATTCCTGTTATGAAATTAATGTTATTAACCAATAATATTGAAATTAAGTATGATTAAATCTGTTTTTCTCGTTTTATTATGTATCATGTAGGAAAGTTGAAGGAGAATTGGTTAAATTATTTATCTTAATATTTCATATTTATTGAAAACGATAAGTTAAAAATACGTTGTACAAGCTGTACAAGACCTGTTATGTGTGTGTGTGTGTGTGAACATTTACTTCATGCTAATCAGTGCAAGTTGTTAACATTAACTCTGATTTATTCAGAAATTTCATCACTGAATAAAGTAAGCAAATTAAGCATCAACTAGTCTAATTCATTAGTTGGGTGTAAACGTTTTACCTAACTCCAAGTCTAACTTGTTATGATGACAGGTATTAATGTGATCACGAGATTATAACCTTATTGAGACAGTTAGATAAGAAATATAAATTGTAATTCATTGAGCAGAAATAAAATTTTTGAACTAATCAACCATCCACTCACAAATTATTTATGTTACCTAATAAGTAATCAATCTATCAAGCTATACGTTGAATAATAAATATAGATTTTGTTATATCCTAATGAGTAAAAAAATTGTATTTCTGACGTTTCTTCAGAGTAATTAAAAAACGATACCCATAAACTTATATGCTGGATAGTTTTCTGATAATATATTTGTACATTTTTGTAATTACCTCTGTACTAAAAATTAAGCTTCCTTGGAGAACACATGAACAACATCTAGTTTGTAATTTCTCAATCGTATACATTCAATGTAAATGAAAAGCGTTGTTCAGTGTTCCTCTTGGGTCTGAATCATTCCCCTAACAATCTATAGTTAGAAGTTATATTATTTAAATAATTTCATACTTCACGAGAAAAACATTTATTTATAACAACGTAAACATTAAACAACAAGTAAAGAAATATTACTAACATTTTGTTTGCATGTACCACACTCAATGTTTTCATTTGATGCTAAAATGAATAGAAATGAAACAAATAAGAAGAAACAGTAAACGTTTAAAGTACAAAGCAATAAATTACGTGTAATATGTTATGCTATTATATATATATTGGTCGAGGGTACTCGGAAGATAAATTAACTCCGAAAACTTACTGCAACCAACAATAAGTCATTAAAACTAAAAAAAGAAAATTGTTAATTGATCAATTCTGATTCGATTAACACAAAAATGAGTGCATATGACAACAGCTATTGCGTAATCATATATATATATATATATATATATATATATATATATATATATATATATATATATATATATAATGCAACGATACACATTTATCGATATGAAACCTTTTAAATTCCCAAAAGCATATTCGCAAATCATCACTAAGACTTATTGAATAAACTTCCATAATTATTTTATATCAATAACCATCATAATCAACAGTGAATAAATTGATTATTTTGTACTAACTAGGACAACCCATTTAAAAAACTGAAATGGGTAAATTCTAGTCAACAATTGAGTAATTCAGCATTTTAGTTTCTAATCAATCTTATAAATATATTCAGTGATAAGTAATAGTCTTGAAAACCGTCATTGTTGTACTCAGTTTAATCACTTGGACATATTTCTACTGAAAGAATAAACATTATAAATACGATGTTTTAACAGTTTATTGATATGAATGATATAAATGTTTTCAAAAGCAGACTAAAAATTTGTAAACATTTATCACATCACCAGTTGTTAAAAATGGAGAATGCAATTGGTCATTCGTTGACGTTTGAAATCATAGGTACATAGTGTGACTTTTATTATGAATATCAGCAATGGATTTTGGATACATCTAGTTGGTTAATCGCAAATGAGATACCACTGTTAGCTACGATTCAAATACAGTATAGAAAATAAAAATCCCACAACACTGATGTATGTAACAAGAATTTACATTAAGGTGTTAGGATTGATTTCATTTCAAATCGATATCGGTATTACAACGATTAGGAACCAATAATTTGGTTATTTTCTAAAAGATAATAGTATAGACCAAAAAATAAGAGCTGTTTTCCCATCAAAATAAGAATTCGGAAAATATTGACCTCTGAACTACAACAGTGCTCAGGTTCATTTCGATAACTTGAAAAGTAAACAAGAATAACGCGGAATTATCTTCTCATTTCATCTGGTTCTCATCAGATGCATATAGTCGGTAATACTTTAAAATCAGAATTTAAGGTAAATTTCAACCTAATTATAAGAATTGGGTTGATGAAACATTGTTAACATGAATATACATCAATATGGTGTAGCAAAAGACTAATAAAATCGAATTGCTTAGTTAAAATATAGCAAATAAATATCATGTTTAAAAAAACGTTCTGAAACATCACCGAGGATAGTGCCAAAAGACTATAGCCCTGAGATTTTAACCAGTTGCACAACGAAATAATCTTGCTGATCCATCATTGATGTTATCTAAAATAACTCATGAGTTTTAACCGAAGTCAAGTAAAATATTCTCACAAATGACCAAAAGATTCTATAAAACAACAGAATGTCTATGTATAGCTAGTCATTTATTATTTATTATTATTTATTATTATTATCATCAGCTGTATTCAATATTATATTTTTGGTACAATATAGAATTCTCAGCGTAAATTATTTCAATAAGTTTCCGTTTCTTTCTTCTTGGTCGGTCCGGGCGATAAATATTGTGTGATCGCCAGTTAGATGTTAGCAGTTCAGTAAATGAACATCTGAATAATGTGCATTCTTTTCGCTGTATATTGCCAGCAACCACATTGGCTCTTATTGAGTTTTTTGTAACTTTGACAACGAAAGGTTGTACACTTTTCAGAAAGGCAGCAGAATACATCATGCGAATAATAAACATAATGATATTATTAAAACAAACAAAAATAGATAACTTGTTGAAATATCTAGATGGCAGGAATAGGTAGCCCAGATGCTCAAGCAGGCCTAACAGTTTTCTAACTAATACCAACTTCAAACAATCGATGACTTCCTACAACACAAAAGTAGTTGAATCAAACAGTATTCTAAAATATTATTTGACAGAAAACAAAGTGCATTCAGATCTCTCTCTGAACAAAAATACAAGCTAGGAAAGTAGTAGAGAAAACTGGTTTTCAACATAAATAAATCCTATGAAGGTCATTAGTGGTACAGACAGTTAGGTATAATATGTTACTGTCGTTTTTACACCATACGCAGTATAACCAATAATCATAATTAGGATCGATTAAACTACCATGCACCAGTCGACTATTGTGACAGATAAAACAGAAAGCATTTTTCTTCATCAAATATCAGAGAAGTAACAAATAATTCGGTAGTAAATAGGAAACCGCAATTATTCATGCATGGATATGTATAAAATAAACGAAACGTTTTACTAATTGAATAAAAAATATATGAAATACTTTATTATTTCTGCATTCCAGTTGTATATTTCTACTTTGAACAGATTTACAAAATATTAGTTAGATCAGTACACTGTAGCAATTATAAATCAACTATGGCCACAAATATGAATTGAACATCCTTCATTAGGCTGTTAATTTATTAATGACCAGAAAGAATCTCAATGTTGTGTCAGAAGAAAACTATCAACAAGTCATAAGTTCAATTCATGTTTAATAATATCTATTAAGCATAATGTAAAAAAAATAAGCTGAAAAAATCCGCCGAATATATACAGAGCCCTGTCTAAGGAGGCATTTAGTCGTTGATTGATATTACTACTGAAAAGTGGCTATTCTATGAGCTTAAGTAGTATGATTTATCAGTTTTTCATCAGAATATGAGCTGATTGAATGCAACAGCTCTAAAGTACTTTGATCTACAAAAGCTTGAAACATGAAAATAATCAATAAAACGACAATTGATGAAACCACGAGTTTGCTTTTTTATACAATAATCGTGGATAGTAATATAAACTATATAATTGAACTCCTTTTCTGTGGGACAGCCATAGATGTAGAAGCATTCAAAACTGTGAAGCACTAGAGAGTTGTTTCATCTTAATGTGAGATTCGTTGGCATCTTGTACTTATAACTTCATTTTGGATCGAAGCCAAGACGTTCACGTCTTATGGTGAACATAGGATATTTGGATGTTGAGTAGCAAACTGAATGATCCATATTTTCAAAGTCAAAGAATTCGTGAAATTATACGACTGTCATCCAGTCCCATTAGTTATGCCTGACTAATTATTAATAACCTTGAATCAACTGGATTAAGCCTTTTCTTAGGAATTATGGAAATTTATTTAGAAGTTAGTCATAAGTTGACAAATTACTTGGTTGTATAGATAAGCTCAACTTTGAAACTGTGTTACCCATCAAATGATGTCAGATAAAATGGATCAAGAGCAGTTCAGAACTGTCAAATCCTAATTTAAAACGTTCAAGCAGTATGTATTCATCCTCAGAAGCTTCAAGTCTGGTAGTGAAAACGTTATCCTTGAAACCCCTAAACGTCAAATCGAAAATTCGATATTCCCAATTAATAGGAAATTGTGGCATCCTTGCTAGTCTTTTAGTATCAACTATCAAATAAGACTAGTCGCTTATCGTAGCATGTATTAAGTTAGTATCTGTGATACTGTAGTATCATGAACAATGAAAGAATCTTCATATTATTACTGATCATGCTTTATACATTACCATTCAATGCATATTTTCTATTGTTTACCTTGTGGTCCATAATTATTTGTACAAGAAATCGGATCAGTGCGTTCATCATGTTGATTATCTCGAATACACCATAGATTAGAAATTTCTTTTCTTAAAAGATCATTTTCTTGCAAAAGTAGAAAATTTTTATGCGATAAAATTTTACACTTTGACCAATGTTTAGTATTCGATTCAAACAGATGGCGAATCTGTCGTAAATGAGAAAAAAAGAAACCAAAAACATTTTATTCCATTGTGTATATTCAATTGAATAAAAATGGATTCATAATGTATACGAAATACTCAATTCATCACTCAGTAATTTATTTTTCATGTTACCTACCTTTTACTCTCTTTTAATCTTCCACTGTCTCTATGTTCTTTTGAACCAAAATTTAACTCGTAATGCAAAGTACCATTATCAATAGTCTCAAGTGAAATCTATTTGAAATTGTAACTATTGACGCTAAGTACTAACTAAACATAATAGTACTACGTTATTTGTTGTGGATGATTTAATTACGAAGCCTATTGGGCAAGATTGTCGACTATTATTACAAGCAGAACCGTTGAATCATTCTTATCTAAAAACAGTAACAGTGATTGATTATATTCAGAGATATTTGTTATCTTCATATGTTCTTACATCCTTATTGACTGTTTTGAGAAATTAATCTTTGACAATTTGAATAATAGATATTTATTTTACAGGTAAATAGAATGGCTGTATGTCAAGACGCGTCTGTTGACTGACTCCAACGAGTTAATTTAATTTAAAATAGGCAGTGACAAAATAATCTAAAACAACAGTGTGAGTCGTCGCCGAAAAAATTCAGATCACACAATACATGACTAATAAAAGTATACATTACAGTTAAATATTTCCTTCAATTTCCTTAGCTAATCTGTTCCCTACCATAATACGCCGAAAGTAGTGTAGTGAACGAAGACTTGTTGGTGATAATCAAATCATTGTTGTACGTAAAATTACAGAGCGTCTTGGTAAAATATAAAAACTATGGACTAAATACAATATTTGCACATCTTCAGTTGTCGTTTAGATGCTTCACGACTTTCAATTCTGTTGTTACTGCAATTACTTTCTGTTTATATTCTCATCAATTATACCTTCTCGATCATCTACTTCCAGGCATTTCACTTCTGATTGGTGCTACATACTACTTACATCTGTCAACATAAGTAGCACACACCACAGAATTATACAACTCACAAAATCTTTGAAACAATTCTAATAATTTGTTGTTACAATGTGCTTATAATCGCCAATAAATCAACCATATTATTTTTGATTGTGAATCTATTTAATTCCAAGACAAATACGTAACTGTCGAGTTTTTTTACTTACAGTCACTTATTCAAGAAAATTGAGTATGACAGCTTCAAATTTTGTGAGCTTAAATTTCATTTTAAAAATACACATAAACAAGTGTAGAAAAGCAGAAAATTATCACTCTACATTTAGTCTACGTTTTGATACTGAACTTATATTTTTTTTGAAAATAGTTTTTGTCTCAGAATAAAATCAGCTGGTGAATCGGTGGAGAATCAATGAGGACTAAAGAGTTATTTCATTATCATTTGTGAAACTTTAGAAGTTCAAACCTACCAGACCATACATTAAAGACTGATTTTAAATGCTCATAAGTGAGTAGTTCAAAATCACAACAAAAGTAGCCGTCTAATGTTCCCATAATCTTCAACGGTTCTTTTGTTGTTGTAAGTCCGTTAAGTAACTTAATGATTGATTGGTCACTAGAAATCATCTAAATAAACAACTTTTTGACGAATGATTTAAGAATTTACCCAGTAAAATAGTGGGTTTTACAAATATACCGGACAAAACCTAACTCTTTAATCAGTATGTTTAACAATGACACATTACTTCCCTGCTGTTGCTATAATAACATTAAAACCGTACTGATCATAAAGTTATTTGCCATTAATAACGCTAGATCATACAAGACATAATCGTTCCATTCTAGTGCGGCGTAATATAAATAAACTCTAGCTAAATAATGAGCTCTTTCACAAAACTACCATTAAAGAATATTGTTTGATTGTCTGATGACACAACCTAATAAATGAGTTGAAACACAATGAATGACAATCTATGATAAGATTATTTTACGAATTCTGACAACCTCCTAAGTACCATTTGTATGTATTAAACCTCTAGTTACATGTTGCGAAGGTTATATGTAAAGCGATCAGTAAGAAAATTTGAAAATATACTGGATGAATAAAATTGCTAGTTCATGTCTGCGTAACTTATTTTCATCAGTCAAAGTAATAGTCAATAAAATTCATCTGAACAACATCATTCCCATAAATATTATATGTTAACATGTTATACGTATAGTGCTTATTCACTGAAAGATTTTTACCTATTCATGTCAGTCAAAGAAAAAATCTATACTTATAAGCACCGGAAACTAATGCATCACACCCTCAGATACATAGGGGTTATTTCTAGAATTCAGCACCCTATCCTGCTAACAGTTATTCGCTTAAATATACTATTTTTCTCTTAAAAACAACCTAATGGCATGGGAAACAATCTGTCTTTTTTCTACGAAGCAAAAGACGACAAAATCCATGCTGATTTAAACAAACACTATTCATTCTCTGTTTCTCTATCCTGATTTGTCGTTATACTTATGCGTATACATGTGTATGTTTGCGTTCATCACAATTTTGTGTCCTGTTTATTTACCAAACATAGATGGAAAATTTTTTACCATCCCTTTTTTTAAACATTGACTTTCAAGAATTAGTTTAATACTGACAAAAATTTAACTAGAACAACACATGAAAGCAGACAATATTGTTTTTATTTAGATCACCATCAGGCTTTATTTTGGCATGAACAGTATGCGTATTACTCTTCACACCACAAAACTGTCAGATGGAGAGTTTGAAACTTAGTACTTCTGCACAAACCAGTTGTTAAGAGAAATTTTTAAGATGTCTTTAATTTCATTATCAAAGTGGGAGACGTAAATGTTTGTAAAAAACTTATGGCTGATTTAGATATCGTACCTTTATTCACCAATGTTTCACAATTGAGTTTAAATGCAAACGAAATTTAACATTGGCTTCCCTGAACATAGTCTTGCAAAACTGCTTTTCAGGCATAAGACGAATGTCCACTTTCTCGTCGACAATATTTATAATAAACAATTTAACTGAACAGCTACGGCTTCATCTTTGAGCCCGATTTCAGTTACTTTCTTTCTAACCAAACTAGAGAGTGGAACCCTATAGGAAGTGAGCAAGAAATTCGATTTACACCTTCATTATATCGACGATATAATTACCATTTTCTATATGAATATCAATAGAGAATTCTTGAGTCAATTCAACAATGTAGATTCGAAGATCACATTCACCTGTGAGAAAGAATTTGACAACACATTTCATGTTCTCAACGTCTTAATAAATCAATGACTTGTTAAGCAAAAGCGTGTATAGAAAAGAGATCCTCTGTGTGTCGACGCACGCACTTATTAATCTTACACTCACTCTTTATGAAAAAAATATAGTTAGATGACTTACAAACAGAACAAATATAATCTGTTCAGACGACACCGTAAAAAAGTTAGAGTTCATCAACGATATGTTGGTCAAAATACGACACCCTTAGGTCCTTTTGTAGAAGCACGTGAGTGCAGTGAATAAGAAGTTTAATATTTATCAATAGATCAAAAGAAATTCCTCTTTCTAACAATACACTTCTACTTGGATGTAGCTAACGATGTCTTAAATAATAGACTATTGAGAGCGGTTGAACAGAATTTCTATCCAGTTAATCTTCGTCGTCTTCCAGCCGACTACTGATACTTATTCAAACAAGGGACATGACGTTTGATTTCACTTCTTAGATGTGCATCAACAAGTTCACTTGCTACTGTGGAGAACATTATATTGAGCATAACATTAATAAACTTAACCAAACAATTAATGAATATCGCTCTGCATGGTTTAAAAACGGTCAAATAAAGACAAGATATAGCTTTATTTTATTAACAGTCGTCATGTATTTGGTAAAACTAATGCATTCCAAGTAATCACCTTCATAATTGGATTTGATCTCGTCTCCAAAAAAATGCTAGAAGCTGTGGGGATTCTGTTGTGACGTGTGACTGCAGATTTAGATGCTCAGCGTATCTATCGATCGGATCAATGACACGTAAAACACGTACGAGCAGCCCAGAGTCCCGATTGGCCCTGTTTCGCTGTCTAGCCCAGCCAGTTGAGTCCAGAACACAAGCCTCAGCCTCTGAGATATGAATCATTATATTTCAGACATACTCTATTTACATACCAATCAACCAGACCACATCGTACCATAAAATAGAAAACAACATTTGTACAAAATTTGACAAGTGAAATAAATATTGACCAATAGGAAATGTCCATTTAGAGTCCAAGGACACTATTAGACTTAACATGATAATTATTGGTATATTTTTCTGCACATGCTAACAGATTCGAACTAACAATCCCAATCAATTTATTTAGAAGAAATCGATATCTTCTTTGGTTGGATAAGATGATAAACAGTCTAACTAATTTCTTCGTATTCTTTGCTTTACTTCGCCGCCCTTTCGCATATCTTCTTCACTATCTGATTAACTGCATGTTTACTACACCAGTTTGATAATTTTAATTTTCTTCAACTATTTTCTCAAGTTTCGACCTACTTTGCACTCCCAAAAATTTCTTTAATTTTTTATTGTTTCTTTTATTCTCATTACTACCAGTACACTTGTTTTTTTACTAACAATTTATGATGAGGCTATAATTTATGGACGACTTTCGAGCGATGCTTAAGTGACCTTTACACTGCCAATGTCCATCTACTCACCAGGGCTAAATGTGGGTTATAAATCAGTATGATGAATTGAGACTATCATCTACAGTTGATGGTTAGGAATAATATTTAGGGTGTTCATCACAAACTGACACCAGCTAAAATGCCAAGATGATAGTTAGCCAAATGGATGAATAAATTTTCTGCCAAAATCCAAGACATGTTGTGCTAAACCCTATTATAGTTTCGCCCAATTTATAGTTTTCATTTATTATGTTTATTCATGTAATTTGTCTCAATGTTATCGCTAACTCATTAACTTCCTTAATTGATTTAATATTTTCATATATGCATATAAATATTACAGTTTATAAGAGTAAAACTTAATGAGGATCTAAATGGAAACCATATTGTTCACTTTTATGTGTTATTTTTAATTTAAAAATTTACTTTTTTCTTAACCTGATTTGATCATTTTGAATATCTAATACTTTATATGTATGTAATGAAGACGATTCATTTTTTGATGTTAATATTTTAGGAAGAATGTGATCAGTGACTATCGTAGCATATGAACTTCATGAAAGGATACTTCAATATTACTGCTCAAAATTTTCCACACTTTTAAAAATTTACTTACCTTTTTAGCTTAAATAAAATGTTTTCTTTAAATAAAAAAACAGGCTTTAAAATGCTTCTATTAATCCCTGTAAAATATCTATGCGCAAATGGTCTAACATGAAATTTACTCACAACTGATTGATCACTGGGTGGTGATCAATGTCATGTTTGTCTAGTTCTTATTAGTGCAGATCGAATGCTATCGATCATGTTGCAATGTGGCCACCAGTCTAGGTGACTCGACACTGCTCGGATAGCTCAGTGGTAACGTCTCTGACTGTGAAGCTGAGTGACACGAGATCGAATCCGCCAGGGAGAACCAGTTCCCTCAAGATTACAGGTACACCTTGCTGACGAGTGCCAAGTAGCACGAAACCCGGGTCCAGGGTTTCCTGTTGACTACCTCCAACCACCATCTAAATGAAATTTACTTTATTAGCTAGTTAATTGATTTCGTATCAACTGCTTACAATATTTCATAGTCAAGTATCACAATAACTGGTAAAATTAGCCACGATTTAATTTAATAGAAATGAAGTTAATTTCTCATTAACATGAACAGTTATCAAATCAGTGCTTTTTTATTTCAGATTTAATGAAGAAATACCAAGCACTAATTGATATCCATTATGAACAAGACTTTTAGATTCCAATTTAATAAAAAGAAAAATGAACACATTAATCAAAAATCATAATGATTTACCTCCTGTTCTAAATTCATACATTGATTCTTCCACCAACGGATTGTTGAATACAATTCCAGTAATTGTGTTCTTATAGGCTAAGGTTTGAAATAGATACGCAAAAATACGTAGTAGTAAATAGATGACTATATTTCTTCAAAAACGTCTAATTTATTAAAAGTTTTCTTTAAAAACAAGAAACTTTCAAGAGCATGTTCAATAGGTTGGCTATCAGAATATGAAAGCAATACTGAAACCTTTTTATATACTTTCGTAGAATTAGTATAAGCAACTAATTGAGTTACCGAGATTACTGTTTAACTTCTTAATAAAAAGATAAAAAAATAAAAATGAAATGATAATAAAAGTATTTGACTAGATAAGTTTTTAAGCAGTATCAGATAGTTATGTTCCGATTAGTCTACAACCACACAATAGTATGCACCTATGAATCCATATAAAATTGAAGTCTGGACTTTATAATATTATGGGAACACTCGCATGTAATTTTAAATCCGAACTAAATATATATTTGTTATGGTCTTTTGTTTATAATAGTTACATAGTTGATACTTATCCGTGATGAATATCAGCTTTATAATGAACAATCTTCATATTCCTTCATCCAATCGTATCTAAAATAGTTTACACCAATCCATCCTGTATTACCTATCAGGGAATTTTATTTTACGTTATTTTTTCCCAGATCCTGTGTGCTGATATCTGGATTGTTCCCAATGTGCATTGGATGTGTTGTGTCTAGAGTACCATACTTTACAATCATGTCATAAGTTGTAGAAAGCGATTCACACGGTTAATAATTAATAATAATTAAGAAATAATAAGCTGGAAGCTTATAATAGGGAGAGTATATTAATTCAATAATACACTTATCTACTAACTATGTAATCAAAATGCGAATAATAGTAAATCATAAATTAGTCCCAAGAGTTAGAATTTCTTCTATATTTGCCACACAACAATAAAGTTGGTATCCAATAATTGTCTCGTATCTTTATAGTTTTCAATGCTCTTTCATCTGGCACCAATAGTCCATGCTCAAAACAACCTTCATATTGTTTTTAAACTCGATAAAAGAAAGATCAAGAAATTGATAGCAACTTCTTAGTTTAGTACATTAGGCATGTAACTAACAGTGGAAACCAGCGAGTGTGTTTCGACCTTTCAGAAACATGTCAGCCGCATCTACTTCCATTTCAGTGTTCAGATTGTAACCTAGTGCCCAACTCTTCCCACATTGATGCGTTACTCACCAAGCTACATGGGTCTAGATACTCATTAACTTGTTCACTAGATGTGGAGATATTAGAAAGGTTTTGTAATTTCCCATTGTTAATATTCAGGAATGTCGATAATCGTATCTTTCTAACTAAATTAAGCGTTCACATATAAATTTACTTACATATAAAAACAAGAGAACTAGAGAGTCAAAAAAATACTTAACCAATAAATGGAAAAGCTAACAATTACCATTTTAAATTTAGAATAAAAAAGTTGACGGGTAAACTGACAGGTAAACTGAAATATTTTACTAACTTTATGTATATCAACTGTGTAAAACAAAACTGAGCTTTTGCGCGTATAGGTTATAGACATAAATTTCAGAGTAAATTTATTTCTTTGAGAATCACTCAGGGTATTTGAACTGCTTGTTTTAATAAAGAAAATCATTTTCATTATTTCTACTTTTGATCTAATTGCATTTATCTGTCTGTTTTGAGTTTTTTAAAATATTCTCACTATTGTACTTTTACCTTCTTCCACAAGTCAATAAAAGAGGGGAATTTAAGCATTTTGATAATTCAGATTGTAGTTACTTTAAATTTTACACTTTACATTTTCGAAATACTATTTGTATGACGCAAATGCTACCACATGTTTACAGATATGGCAAAGCACCATAATGTCTTGATGTAATTCAGTTTTCGATGAAAAGCTGAACCAACGAAAATCGATGGTCATCACTGCAATCGAATCGGCAGACATCATTGGTTAAATTGAAAAAGTTGGGAAACACTGACTAAAAATAATCAGAGAATGAGTGTCAGACTTTAAAAAAATAGGGCGTGATCGTTATTGATTTACTAACTCTTCATAAAAAGTTCGTCAGAATTTCCATAAGAACTCAGCATTTAATATACAGACTCGATGGTAGCATAACAAAATAACTAACTGGTTCAGTCACGGCTCCATACATTTATTTGAACTGTCATGCAGACAAAAATTGAAGAAGAGCTTCTGTGACAAATAAACTGGTATTAATTATTGTCAACAAAAGCAGGGAACTAAATCTAATTACCATACTATATCTGATGCAGAACACGTTTACAAAGCACATTTCTAATACCAAAATAAAATTGCTCACCATCTACATTAATATACGATGTTTTTGAATAAAACACAACTACACTATTTCTTTAGTGAATAACACTTTGAATAGTAGAGGTGAGTGTAAACAGGAAAGAATAGTTATAGAAAATTAAATTAAATACTTCTAGTACTCACTTGATTATTATGTGAAAATCCAGTTGACTGACTTCCAATATCTTTTGATCTGTTTCGTTTTTCAATAGCTTGAATAAATAGAAACAATGTAAATCGAATAGACTCAAAGATCGTGCGTCTGTACACATATACTACTTACTTTCCGTAGATAAATATAACTAACTGAAAATTTTTTAATGCTTCTTAGTAGTTTATTCTTTATTCATAAAAATAACCACTAGAAATTCAGGATCTACAGTGTCAACGTAGTCAGTAATGAAGCACGGTTAACCACTACCAACGAAAATAGATTTAGTTGGTTCTGAATTACAAATTCACTGAAATCGCAAATTCGCATCATCGAACAGCATTAACTCAGTATCGCAATTATACTGTGTAGACTGAAGCAAATGAAAATTCTGATTGTTTAGTCATGTGTTAGACAAGGAGGGTCATGGAAGTTCAGATGTGACCCAAACTAGAGTAAGACGGTTTTTCTGGTTGTTAGGATATTCGGAAAAATAAACCAATAATTGTCATGTTAAGTCTAATAGTGTCCTTGGACTCTAAATGGACATTTCCTATTGGTCAATATTTATTTCACTTGTCAAATTTTGTACAAATGTTGTTTTCTATTTTATGGTACGATGTGGTCTGGTTGATTGGTATATAAACATAGTATGTTTGAAATATAACGACACATAACTCAGAGGCTGAGGCTTGTGTTCTGGACTCAACTGGCTGGGCTAGACAGCGAAACAGGGCCAATCGGGACTCTGGGCTGCTCGTACGTGTTTTACGTGTCATTGATCCGATCGATAGATACGCTGAGCGTCTAATCTGCAGTCATACGATACAACACTAGTGATCCTCAGTTTTCTTAATATCTCTCAAAATGATATCAGTCAGTGATGCTGATCATTTTAAAAAACAGTAGATCCACATATAATAAAAATAACATAAGGAATTACTTATTACACTATGTGTACCGAATTGGATGGTCAGTAAAAACAATATCTAGTTGTGAAAACCATATAAGTAGTTTATGTGTTTTTGAATATTCATGATAGTAGTCATTTCTTCATACCAGAAAAATGAAAATGCCAACTCCTTTGAACTGATCAAACAGGACATTTCATCTTATCAACCCACTGTACATCCCATGTATAAGGTTGTGAAGATTCATATTCTATTTTTCTTTTAAACGTTATTTTTATCGAGAAATGAAGATATTTTAAAATTAACTAATTGAGTACTTCTGATAATATTCCTTTTAACTTATATTTATTCATGTATATCAAATTAAGGAAAGTTTTAGATTTTAAATAATAATGCTTGTGATAAAAATAAGTGGTTACATAAACAAAGTATGTTATTAGAATAAGATTAATATAATGAGGGGAATTCAGTGGATCGATACAAACTGAGATTATGTAGGATCAGTTTCCTTTACCAAATATTCATTAAATGAATTAAAAGTGGATCAGTGTTTTTCTTAAACTACCGCCAGTTAAATTTGTGAATTTTTATTTAATTGTGAAAGCGGTATTCAGAAGCAACTAATCGAAAAGGCTGTGGAAGTTTTTCTGAACATGAACATTGAAACCCATACCTGAAATAAAACCATAACTTTATAAGTACGATCATCAGGTACTTTGTCGTTATTGGACTAAAGTAGATTTCATCAAGGCTTTAGAAATAATACACAAACATCAAGTATACCTTACAGGGCCCATTGTCATCAAATATTTCCAACTAGACTAGTATATACAGAAGATACGGTCAACCTGCCTTTGTCTTGATAAGAAAAATCAAACTAAATAAATTTCATCCATTACATAAACATGTTCTAATCTTAATTGCACTGAGTAACATTGTTTTCATGCTTTTTACTAACTTTTCATCTTCCCTTCGAACTTTTTCTGCAGCTTCATTAACTAGAGTTCCCCAAACTTTTACTTCTAACTACGTAGGTCGTTTATATCGCTTTCTTTTGATGACAGGCCATTAAAAAATAATTTATTTTATGACAAATTGTGCTATTCTTGCTCAAATTGAAATTTGATCACTTACATTACTGTACAAATCTCTTGGCAATTGATTTTAGAGTAAAACCCTGAGTGAATAATAATTGAAATATAAAGCAACAAAGTAAAAATACTTGAATAATTTCACTCAAAATTAAGAGAGAATGAAATTAAAATGTTACACTGGGAAGAGATTTGTTATAAGTAGTGACCTAATAGGCTTTCCAATGAATCTTTCTTTCCTATCAATTTGGACAGACATCGAATTTTTAAACAAAGTGTGTGCGCTTGTTTTATTTAAAAAAAAAACTACACGTGATCATAAAACCAGTTTATTGAAGCTATCGAAAACCGAGTGAATTTATCGAGATTTTCTAGTTTAATTTTTATTATAGGATGATATCAGATAGTTTACATAAACTAAAATTATTTTAAAGTGTATTTCGATTAACTTTGAAAATTACTAATATGACAAAACTTCAGTCCTTTTTGAGATTGAACCAGCATGCTACTAATAGCCAGGACGTGTTTGGTTACGGTTTCTCCAACAGTGTGAAAACATCATGGCTAATGCTACATTTTATAATTCAGTGGGTTTGTATCGTTATATGTCATATGACAGTAAATTTTATCGTGGACTAATTGAAGATATACTAAAACCTAAGGGAAGTTTAGGTAAATTTATGCAAATTAGAGAATCCTTAGAACTTTATCCTAATGGCTGCTAAAGCGATTTTAACTCAAAACCTTGAGTTCTTTGAGCTATTAAAGTATAATTCGATCGCTCAGAAAAAACATAGAAAAACTCCTTTTCTGAAACTGGTTAAAAATAAAGACGAATGTCTACCGATAGCACAGCACAATACTTGTATCATATTACAAGTCGATAAGTATTCGGAAAAGTGAACTTCTAGACTTCGACTCAGCGAACAAATAACATCATGGTCAATGCAAGACCCAGATTTTTCTGATTGTATATCGTAAGAAGAAGAAATCCTCTGTAAAGCAGTTTTAAACTAGAGCGTTACAGTTCCCTAGTACTTTTTACTATTCAGTAATCCTTTATTTATATTAACCCATGGTACAAAACCATTTACATGAATAAGCATAGTAATGCCTTCCAAAGCAGTTCGGTTGTTATTTTCACTTGCCAACTTGATAATTAAATACTATGTTTGTAGTACGCAATTTTTCTTAATGAACATTAAAGTTAATAACCAATTCATTCATATGCAATTATTTTGCCGAAATAATACAAGTTTGTTAGATATGAAACACACACAACAAAATCACATACCGCACATATCTTGATCTGCATTCGATTCTGTTATTCCTGATTGACTAGTTTCTTGTTTCATTGAACAAATTGGATTAATGGTAGATTTCATAGTTGAAATAGAATTATATTTATGAAGTTGATTATTCGATGGATAAAAATCTTCAAGTAATTGTTGTTTTTCCAATTTTAACGTCTCTATAATTTCCGTTGCATCATCTAAAGATTTTTGTGTTGAACTCAATTTCTCTCGTAAATAATTTCTCTCGTCACGTAATGATGCCCATTTTTCTCTCCAGCTAGCTGTACAATCTGACCACCATCTCATCGTTTTTTCAAGTTGAGTAGCACGTGAACGAGCCTAAAAAATCACAGTTTGAGTCCTAAAATATGTTTTTATACGTATATATATATATATATATATTTTTGTCCGGTAATAAAAAAATACATTTTTGAACCATTTTAAATCCCTAAACTGAAATCCTGTTCACATCACATCGAGAAATGCACTCCAAAGACCACTCTAGTCATTTCATTGACCTGAGCATTATGTGTGTTATTTGCTAACAACAACAGTAATGATTTACCTGTTCATTCATTTTTGTAATTGAATTAAATTAGCTGATCACTATTTTCGACATTTATCTCGAATAAAATATCAAAATAAAAAATATTCCCCATCTATCGGCCAATCCAGATAATTGCCGTGAATGACCACAGTCGAGAAAGTAAAAAGATGTTCATATTCTCTAATTTGAATACGAACTTGGATGCTGATTATCAAAACTAATAAGTCATTGTGTTGTTATTAAACATTGGCTATGGTAAAATCAGATACATGACTGAGTAATAATAAAAATAGCAAAGATCTCAGGATTTTTCTAGAATAGTTAAATACTTGTGGGTTAACAAAACGCCCTCACTATTCTTGCGTCACTCTATATAAAATACTTTGGTCGATCAAAATGGTTTATATTTTATATAGATTCATATAAAGGAAATAAATTTGAATACTGAAAAGCGTTGATATTTTTTTTGACTAGAACTTACCAATATATGATGTTTAAAATGAACAAAATATTTAAAACGTTTTTCAGTGTTAGATTATTAACTTTGATAATTGATCCATTGTCAAAATAATGTAGGAGTACATATAAAAATTACGTAGACTATTATTAAGGTTTAACGATAGAAACATTTAGGTTAACGCTTCAAACGTCTTACAAAAAACATATTTTGAATACCTACTTCTTCCAGATCCTTGTCACGTTGTCTGCATTCTGAAGTACAGGAACGTGGGTGAGATCGATTATTAATGCATCGAGAATGCTGATCAGCAACTCTCATCGGAATGCGTCTTTAACTACGTTCAATCGAATAACTCAGTGTAATATAATAATGATAAATCTTGTTACTGTATATGGCTGAAAAACAAAGAGATGAAATATTTTAAATTTCTTACAAACTGTTTAATGATAGCATTCAATTATCTTTGGTATATATAGACGGTGGCGGAAATTATTTTCACCACGCAGTTTTCCTATTTAAAAATTTAGTCCTGAATATCAGTGACATCAGTAAGTACAACAAATCAACGAAGACAAACACAAGTACATATAGTACTTGGGTAAATAATGAAATAGTTTACTGTAACATAAAGTGAGTATACTTAAAGTTTATGAAAATTGGACTTAACGTTCTATATATATAGTGATATGCCTATCACTTAATACTATGTATTTAATGCAGTAAGAAACGGGTTAGTTTGGAATCATATGAATATGTATACATTTTTGTGTAAACTAACTAGTCGAGCTAAGAGTGAAACGTCGTATTTATTCACAGTGAAAAACTGTTCTTGGTACTACGCACATTTATATGTAGTAAAATCAATTAAAACTACTCAGCAAACCTCCACAAAAACTTTATTATAGTTCCAAAATAAACTTCTAATCACTACACGTAACAGTGGTATCTATATGATCCCTACACTATATACGTCATAAACCTCATGATCTTGGAAAAATGGAGTAATTCAATTCTATTTTGACCAGTGTTGTATTCTATACCTCATATCCACTGTAATTCTTGCATATTATTTACACTATCCTTCATTATTTTTAATCTATTTTAGAGGACTTTATAACAAAGCTAAGATTAAAGGAGTTCATCTTCATCGTATCTCATCCAAAAATTAACTTGTGGAATTTTAAGAAACGAAAGTGTTCCCTAGGATATATTTCTTTTACAACTGAATATTTCATGAAATGTAAATATCGATAGTGATTTTCTTAAATTTAAAAACAAATAAATCAACTAAACAAGAACATGAACATGCAATTAAAAAACCGGAAGTTTAATATCCTAGTGCCTCTTAGCATCAAGTTGTTTTAACCTTTAATTAAAGTTTTCAGAAAATACTACCTAAAGAGACGACCACCAATGGATAACTAAATATATGACATCGGGTCTAACAACGTTCGAAATCTTAGCATTGCAAAATGCACTGCATTATTTCATAATAATTATCAACATATGACACCTTATTTCAGGGATTACTGAACCCCAGCACATCACAAAATATTACACGAAATTCACCGAAATGGATGTTTTCATGTTAAACATCGCCATTATTTTAAATGAACAGGTCGACATATTTAAAAGCTTTAAGTTAGTTTGGAATACAAAATGTTGATTATAACTATTAAATGAAATCTTGATCCATTTACAGATCAATTTAAACATTTTGAGTGAAATCTATTCATCGTTTATTTGTCTGTATATTGTTTTTTCTTCCTGACAAAAATTTAATTTTGGCTATTTTAAATATCTTGAACAATATTGATAGTCTAATATAATATGTCAACAAATCGTCTTAATAAGCAATAAATTCCCTCGTGGTTTCTTTCTTTTCTACCAATATAAACAAATCATTTCCACTTGTATCGTTGATGTTAGAAAATACGATAATGATTCAAACGTCAAAAGCTATCGTTTCGTGAGAACTTAATAATGATCAGATTCGAAGACAGTAAAAAAGGTCTAAACCTCGCTTAACATCTTGGCAAACAAAATCTTACACTTTCACCCTGTAAATCAGTCCTGTCATGCACTTATCAACAACTGCCGTAAAACCATAATTTGCAGTACAAAAGGTCATTTCATATAACAAACATAATAAAAGATATGACACTCCCAACGTAAATTGAGTAATAATATTTATGATTTGAAAACACATAGAGAAGACACCAAGTAATTTAGTGCAATAAGACTAAAAATCCAGTTGAAAACTGCTGTATGTGAGTAACACCTAAATGCACCTTTGTATATCTCTCAACGAATAAGATTCTCTGCCCAGCTATAGTGATGGTTTCTTATCTTATTGTTTTCTACGCAGTAAGCCTTGATAACAATTTGCCTCGGTATGGCGCTTAACGCATATTTTTAACAATGAATTTAAATAGTCTTCTACGGTAACCAAATAAAACTCGAGTAATATGCCGGTTTGAAGCGTGTGGTCTTTGCTTAAATAAGATATCTAAAAATACATATTGGGGCGTAAATGTATTGTATACTTAGACGTTTCGACACATCATGGCATATTTTATAAGCATGCATACTATTAAATTGCCTTTTGTTTACAATGGCTCTGGTATGTACTGAGTTAAGCCTTCAACTGTACGAAGACGGAAATCTTAAACTTATGAGTAAGCGTAATATTCTAGATTTCAGCACTTGCTTTAAAAAATTATCTTTATTGACTCAAAGTCTCCTGCAATTACTTTAATATCTGCTTTATCTACAATCTCTGCAGCAATTTCTAATTTCTAGCGAGTTCGTTGCACTTACCTATTAAACCATTTACATTCTGCATCACGTGAGATTTACAGTTTCCGAACGAACTACCGCCTTCAGACAGAAAGCAAGCAGTAGTATTTATAGAATACATCATTCAATATAACAACACCAGGTGTTATGTCACACAGTGGGCTATTTAGTCAGAGCTTCCATCTAAGCTTCCCTCCCACCTCTGATGAGATTTAATTATGCAATCATCTTATTCAAGTCCGCAGATGAGACGTTATGTCAAACAGTGACACCGGCCAATCCTAACTTATGGACGGTAGACATGAAAGCGAGTCATCAATTCTTGGAACCTGTTACCTGAAGCAATGATGTTCTCACCTCCAATTGACTTATTTAAGAGAATACTAGACACTCATAGAAGCATACTAGAAAAAGAATAACATGGACTGTAGACCTTATGTCTTAACTACACAAATCTGAAATAAATTATGTACATGAACTATTTGGTTTCAGATTCACTTGATACACAGCTTTTTAGCACGGGATTAAAAAAAGCAAGAACCTGAGGACAAAATTTTTATAAAAATCATCAAATGATCTTTATAAATAACAGTGATAGAGGCGTATTTCTTCAATACATTATCGAAGTAAATATATATTCAGAAACTTCTGTTCCTACTTAGATGGTAGTCGAGCAGCTGTCAAAACAATATTTCAACGAAAGTTGGCCTTTATAAAGAATACGCTGATGAGTCAGTTGGCGTTACATCTCCATGATTTTGAAAAGTGTATTAAATACAGCATTCGTGACTTTCATTCGATGTGTAGAATGTTTAGAAGAAAATCATTTACCATACTCTTCGAATGATACTTTGTGAGCTCTTATCTGCTTAAAGAACACAAAAATATTGTTCAATATTTGATTTCGACCAACGGCATGCATACGAATGTACATGCTGGCACTTTAGAAATGTTTTTGAAAACATGCCGCTATCAACCCTATGAATAGATTAATTTTCAATATAGTTCAGCCTTTAAAAGCTTTAACAAGCAGTACAAGGTCATTTCACGACATATATATTCAATAAATAACGCACCAACCCCACATCATTACGTAAAATATTCAAAATAGTACACAACGTCGAGGTAATACATTACTCAATACAAACAAATTGTGGGTCACATAATACATATTAGCCTAAGTGATATCTGATGACCTGATGATCTTCGAAATATCGTCAGAAAAAATGTTGTAAATTGGAGAAGGCTCACTATACATTCTTGAAAAATTTTAGATAATGAAACTGTCTAGTTAGCTTATACTGTTAATTCAATTACTTAATTTCGTTCACTTTTAAATAACGCTAGCTTGTTTCCAGAAGTTGAATCAGCATAGTGTGAGAAAGTTTTTGATCCCAAGTGGCCACTGGTATATCCTTCTAAGTGCCTTGTTTTATCACAATTTTCCCTAATATTAAACTATCATGTCTTTCAGTGCCGTGTGAGCCACTTTTGTACAAGAATTATTATTATCAGCTTGAGGTGACAACACAATTAGCGGAAAGTTTTTGGATTTTCCGATTATAGGCCACCAATATTGGTGGTGAACGCACTTCAGTAGAACGGGAAATATGCGACATCTTACTCTTACATTGAACATGCATATCGTAGTTTGTGACTAGTTTGGATTACTCCGTAATGGTATCCATATAATTTGAATGTTTTGGTGACTGCAAAAAAATGAATGAATATTTACCAGAATTATGAAGTTGCTTATAAGAGAGTACACACGAGAGGTATACAGAGCAAGAACACTGCAGAATGGACTAGTTAATGGATTACAATTGGTTAACACATTTTTGCTGTCCTTGAAAAATTTCGTTGACTAGTTCAGTGTTTAGTGAGCCATCGTTTGACAAAAATATAGACGAACAATTTGGTTGAACATCAACATTATCGCACTGGCAGGGCAACTTCATTGGAAGTAGTAGTTGATCAGTTCGGAGACATCCATCATTTAATAGCTTCAAACTCAACTTTACAGCTTGTAACTCATCATGCTCAGCCAAGTGACATAAGATAGATAATAAATCCTGCAAAACGAAACAAACTTACCTTGTGTTGTGTACTAAATTCTAACTCCAAACTGATTTTCTTAAACGGTTAAACAAACCTCACAGAATTTATGCTTGTTACTCCTCATGGAGGAACATAGGCTATCCACCGACGTTCTCCATCAAACCCTGTCCTGGAGAATCTATTCTAGTTTATTTTCATCCTTTCATGTCTGCCACCAGTTCTCAGCGCAATATGTTCGTGGCCTTCCTCTTTTCCGACTCCTTCCAAGATTTCGAATTTGTGACTTACCTCGCGGTGGAGTTTGAGGATTTCCGTAACATCCATCAAACCTCTCATGCAAGTAATTTAAACCCATTGTGTAATTATGATTTTGAATATCACAAGTTGTAAGTGGATGACGAAAATCTACGAAATAAAATTAATTCATGCTATTCTGCCGAAATGTTTGCTCTTATTTTTTT